ACCTCAAACAACGTACATCTTAAGCAAGGAACCAAACAGGGCGCCAAACTTTCGACAACACTCTATAAAGTATACAACAACACCATCCTCGACAGTATTACCAACACAGACATGGGATCCCACATCGGTGACATCAACATCGCATGCCCGACTTGTGCAGACGACATCGCCCTTCTGGCAAATAACCACCATGAAATGGAAGCAATTCTGGAGCTCGTAGACCACCATACTAAACTTGATCGAGTCACTATCAATGCTGCAAAATCGGAGCTGATTATATATGGAAACAGCAAAAGCTGCGAGTCAGCTGTCAACTTTGGGGAATCCACAATCACACCATCAGTGGAAGCAAAACATCTGGGCATAATCCGCTCAAAAACCAACAAAGCGAATACCAATGAACGGATCAAATGTGCAAGGAATACCATCTATGCACTGCTAGGAGCGGGGCTATACGCAAAAAATGGCATGTCTCCAACTGCCACGCACAAGCTCTGGAGAGCATACGCTGTCCCACGTCTAACGTATGGGCTAGAAGTAATGACATTAACGATCACAGAGAGGGAAAACATCGAAAAGGCACACAGGAAGATACTGAAGCAACTCCAGGGATTACCAACGGCAACAGCCAGCACAGCTGTATACACGCTAATTGGCGCTGAACCAATCAGCATAACCCTGGAGAAGAACATCATGACTTTCTTCGTCAACATTGCTAGAAACGCAGAAGCTGTCGAATATGCCATCCTTCGCAGATCACTCTTGATGAACAGCCAAGACAGCTCATGCTTCGCCTCAAGGGCGGCGCAACTCCTCGGCAAGTACAGCCTCCCAACAGCGTGGTCCATTCTCGAAGATCCTCCTAAAAAACCAACATGGAAACGGATGCTAAAATCAGCAACCAACGATCTCTGGAAAAAAACTTGTGAGGAAAATCTGGAAAAAAAATCCTCCCTGCGCTACCTCCAAATACAAGACCAACCTCTGTATAAGGCACACAACATCTGGGCCAGTACCGGAACGTCACCAAGAGACGTCAAGGCAGCTGAAATTAAAGCTCGACTTGCCACCAGCACGTACAACCTCCAATGCAGAGCGGCAAAATTCAACAAAAACAGTGTTGATACGACTTGCTTGTTGTGTATGCAAGAGGAAGAGGACATTAGCCATTTCCTACTCCGATGTCAAATGCTGGAGTCTACAAGAATCGGACACATGCAAAAAATTGAGGACCTACTAGAGAGAATTGGTGGAAGGGGCACTACTGAAACCATCAAGGCAAACAACCTACTTTTACAGCTTCTTCTGGACCCAACATCAAAAACACTGCAAGGGCACGTAACCCTCAACCGTAGGAACACAACAGAGTTGGAGAGACTTTCGCGCAACCTCTGCTACTCCATCCACCTCAAACGGGCTGAAATACTATCAGCTCGCGGCTGTGTGTAGGCACCACGAACTGTGAGTCCCTATAAAGTGGAAAGTTAAATCATCCGGTCTGTAATCCAAATTACAGGGGGAGGGGAAGGAACAACAAGCTATGAGTTATATTTGTTTTTAAAGTGTACAGTGTTACGTCAAACTGTCTTTTTAACTTATAACATTCTTAACCGCACGCTTCTAGTGGACTTGCTTCAGGGCTTTTACCATACCGCTTGCTGTGTTTTAATACCCGCTTGTAGTGCTCTTTAGTGCTCTCTAAATGCTTTTAGTGACTATATCTAGCTTTTAGCTTTTAACTGTCTAAGCATTTTTAAGACATTATGCCACTGCAAGTAGTGTAGCAATTCAAGCAGCCCACGATCCAGTTTTTAGAAATCTTATACTAATGTAAATAACTTTTAAAATCTCCAACCTCCGAAGTACCGTGTACATGTGCATGTGGTGAGGGACATTGTTCCTGTTTTATTGGATACATATCGTGAATTTTAATGGACCAACCCAAATAGTGGTTTTTATGACTTTTTAATCCATATATGATGTACCAATCACTCTCCAGGATCCCTGGACAGCTCCTATACGAAAGGAGGACAAGACACTACAACAAGACAAGACAAGACATGGAAAATTGACACTGTTTTATGAACAAATAATGCACGCTAGCAATTGTCAACTCAACGTTTTTGTTTCAGTCAGTCACGTCTGGACCCCTCGATATGCGAGCCTGGATATGCACGTGCTGCATATATTTCTGAGGCTAGCCTCGGTTCAGATCAATCGGGAACCATCGGCATTTTCCGTAAACGAGAAATTACTTTATTGTTTACGGAAAGTCCAACTATTCCCGATATCGATATCTTAGCATATCGCCGAAGATTTCTTTTCGTGTTCAGTTGGTTGAAGCGGCTGAACCGGATACGTGAAAGCTTGGGGCCCATGTCGAACTTGAATCTAGCACTCGACTCTTCTTCTTTATTATGGGGGCTCCATCAATGTTGATGTTTATGCCCTCGGGGTCCTATTGCATGGCGTCAAAAAGGGGGTTATTTACAGTGATATAGTTGGGTTTTTTGTGATCTTTTGTGCAAGGTATAGATAAAAGATAAAAGCTGGCGTATGTTTCAGCGTGTGATGAGGGCTTCAAGGGATGCATAGGGTAAGTGTGCCTTGAAGTCCTCTAGTGTTGTGCATTGTACTGCTGCTATGGGAAGGAGATTCCATTGTGTTATTGTGTGTGGAAAGTAGCAGATATGTGTTTGTATGCGTGAGGGTGTGCATGTTTGGTTCGTATGGGGCGCCGTTTTGGTATTTATTCACAAAATGTGATATCATTAAATCGATTTAATGATGTCACATTTTGTGAATAAAAAACATTAAATACGTCTATTTTATGATATCATACAATCGAATTAATGATATCATAAAATCGATTTAATGATATCACATTTTGTGAATAAATACCAAAACGGCGCCCTATAGGTTCGAGGGTCTACGGGTGTGAGTATATGTGTTGGGTTTATAGCGACGATTTGGTGTACAATTTTGCAAAAAAAATTATTGTGGTGTTGGCCATTGTAGTGTCTGGATCATATCTGTTACGGAGCTGGTGTTGTGGTATCTGTTGTTTACGTAGCGAGTGCTGCTCTTCGTTGTGTTTTTTCTATTTGTTTAATTTGGTTTGTGTTGTGTGGATCCCAAATGGAAGAACAGTATTCAAGTTTTGGCCTGACTAGTGCTTTGTATGCGTGTTCTTTGTATGCGTGGTGAGTTTATTTTTAAGTTGCGTTTTAGAAAACCTAGGGACCTATTGGCATTGGCTGTGATGTTGTTATATGTTTGTCCCATTCAGTCGAGAAGCTCGTATATATGATCATCGGGGTGTCATTTTTACCGAAAGTCGATCTAAACCCCTTAAACATGTAAAATTACTCTTAGTTTAGGTCAAAATATAGCTGTAACAAATTCTGATGTCCCTGTGGAATCTAGTTTTTTGCTATTTGACTGATATTTTAAGACAGAAACATCAATAATCTAGTTAATGGGATACGTTTTTAATCTTAGAATTAGTTTTAGTCCTTTCGCTCTCTGCACCCCTGGAATCATCCTCGATATCCAGGGGTTAAGCTCACTTTCGTTCTCTACACCCCTGGAATATATCATAGCAAAATTGAAGACACGAAGATAGCTGTTTGATTGATCTCATGCAAAAAAAAACCACTGACCAATCGCTAGGCTGATACATGCATATGTCCTTCGAAGATTACAAACGAGAGACGCCCGACTTCAGAGCCTGTCATTTTTTACCGTTATCTGACCGCGAGATTATTTTCATGTATATTATCTCATCAACAAGGTGGCGCACACTGAGCCTTTAATTTTGCTCTGGTGTAGAGAGCGTAACCACTGGATATCGAGGATGCCCTGCAAGATCCCGATGATGTCCATAGTTTTCATTAACCTACATCTTTGGAAAACCTGTATTGTCTTTTTTTCAGTCAGCAGTCGACATATATCACGTAAATCATGACACTAAGTACCGGATCAACTACGACATGTAAACGACGAAGGTAGCCTGGTATGGATATTACAACCAAGAAAGAGGAAGTAACGATTAACGATTAACAGAGTCGAAATCTTCCCGCTTAATGTACACTTTAGTTGTAAGCCGTCCTTTGGTTCAAAGATAGCGTTTTGACCCACTATGAAAGTGAATCCAATTAACATGGTCTCGTTTGCCCATAGTCTGGCGTAGTGCTTTACAGAATTTATACATGTACAATGCATGTACATCGTATCTTGAAATCAGTATTCCAATTTGTTGTTAACGTTACTGTATATCTCGATACTTAACATGGTAGGACTTTTCATGAACAGCCCTCGTTTATCGGTGTTGCTCGTAACATTTAGATCGCGTACTGTGTATTCAAAGAAACTTTGACCATATCACACATCTATACAGTCATCTTGTGGTAATGGGAGTAAGAAAGTGCACTTCCGCTACATTCCTCTCTCCTTTTTTAAGTCTTCGACCCGAAGACACATTGTCCCTGTACGGAAACATGATTTTTTGATTCCCATAGATTAAACATGATTTTTTTGTTTCCCTGCATAGATTAATTATAGTTTCATTAAGGGCCGCAAGCTCAAATGAAATATGATCAATCAATCTATTTCCCCCTTTTATGTGATAAATATAATCCAATCAGATATGCTGTAATGTAGAGCGTGTATAATTTGGAATAATTTAGAGATCTATGTCAAATTCTTAATTAATAAAAAATAAATTAATCAGAGACGTAAAGGCCTATAATACAATTTGTAATATCACGGAATTTGATTAGTCTCTGAAGTAATCAATAAAATCATCACAGACTTTAAAAAAAACATGAATATATTTTCTAGGTGTCACGATTACATCACTTTTTAATAACATAATATACATGTAGATAGGCACAACTGCACTGCTACCTAGTTCTACTGAGCACACTACGGACAAATCTTAGTGAGTGTTGTTTTCTAGAATACCTAGGCCGCATTTAGTACCTCAGATTGATATGATAGGAACTTCCGGTTCAAAATGGCGCATAATCGGGCCATTTCAGGGATCTTGAAGAATTTTCAAATCCGGCCAATAAAGAAAATGATATTCAAATTCGATCCATATTCATCAGACGTGAGAGCCATCAGGTAATTTACGACAATAACTCAAACTGTTGTGGCCGGTGACAGTGTTGCAAATGGATGATCACTGTTAGAGGTCGACTTTGGTATCCTCGTGTAATCTTCGGTGCCCGAACCAACCTTAACATATAAGAGCAACCGTGATTTCGTACTGATATCGGTAGAAAACTGTTGAAATTACCTGCATGTATAACTTTGTTAACGCGTGTTCAATCTAGTTATTTAAAGGAGAAAAAAATCAACTAAAACTTCTAAATGCGGACAAACAATTGTCGCAATCATGCAAGTATGTGCCTTTAAAAAAAACTGAATAAAAAAAAAAAAATTGTCAACAAAATAAATTTCACTTGCTGATTATGGCCGTCATCGGTTTCGGTGCCGCGATTGTGTTCACAGAAAGTTCCCGTATAGAAAAAAGTGTTTTAAAGCAATTTTAAAGAGAATGAAATCTGTAAAATTAAATTGTATTTATTATATTGTTTCAGGGAAGTGCTTTATGCACTACATTCAGATAAAATTCTGTCAACCAATTTAAACTGTGTACCCAAGGTGGATATCATGTCGGATCAGTCTGAGCCAGAGATGAAAGTAGATTTCAGTAAGTATTGAAACAGCTGATATTAGCCTGAGTTTTCTCTGGCTCTATAATTAACACCAGACTTAGACATTTTGCCATTATTCAATTATAGGCTTTGGCTGAGGGTCGATACCTGGATTTATTAACCCGAGAAAAGATATATTGACAGAGGACGCAGTCGAGGTCAATATTTCTTTTCTCAGGTCGATAAATCCAGGTATTAACCGAAGTTAAAGGCTACAATTGTTTTATTATTTTACAAAACAGTAATGTAAGCAATCTGAAAAAAACCCACAACAAAAAAGCTTCGGAAGTTGGACGGTGCATTGTTTGGAGACAAGTCATAATTCTATTTTAAGAAACACCCAGTCCTTCAACAAAAATCACGCGCTCCAAGTCAATATCGTTTTTTATCGGTGGACACATGAAAGACTCCTGGCCAATCTCTTGTCGAGAATAACATGAAAAAATAATAAATATAGATGTCTGGTGCTGGTGCAGAGCACACTCCTGTATGAAAACGTGGAATTCTCCGACACCGTTTGGTATCGGGATTGAATAATCAATAAAAAAGACGCGGTCCAGACATTTTCTAAACAAGAATGATATATTCCGTTTTAGGCCCGGATCAGTACAGTTTGTTGATTGGTCACTCCCATGAACTACAAATTGGCGTTCGCTCAGGTGGGAAATTTTAAACGATTGAAAACCGAGGAGTCTATTGACAGAATTTAGCAGCTGTTGGTGATAATAAGAGTGGATTTGGATAAATAAATAATCCATTTATCGATATATATGTGAGGTATGTGTTGTGTCTGTGTCATAATAGATTTTTGTTGTCCATACCTCATAACTCTCTGATACCAAATGGTGTCTGAGAATTCCACGTTTTCATATAGGAGTGCACTCTGGCCCCACACCAGGCATCTATCTGTCAAAATGTCTAAGTCTGGTGTTGGGGCCAGAGGAAACTCGGGCTAGACTGATAAGTACATGAATCTGGCCCAAGTTTCACAGACATTCATAACTTAATGTCTGCCACAACCACTATAGGTTTCCTCACTCTCGACTCATGGGATAAACCTGCTAGGAGTTCGTAAATATTTTTGGTTACCCACTAGTGGGTAACACCCTTGACATTATTTCATTTGTCAATCTTCTAATTATGACGTCAAGTAATAATGCTTTGCGATGATGTCATAGTTCATTGCACTGTTTCCCCGATCAACAGGAACAAGGTATTCCCAAGAGAAACATAAGGTTTTCTAGATATAATATCTGAACTTTGAGGGAGAAAAAGGCCCCAAAACTCATTATGATTGATAAGCATGTTTATCTAGCTCTTAATTGTTACTTAATTTTCAAACTATGAAACACACTCGGTAAACCTTTGTGCCTTGAAAACTAACTCACTCCAGTCAGATAAACATGATAACCAGCCATCTTTGTTCGGGAATACCTATGTCCATCCATAGTCATGTACTTACAGAACAAAACTTACAGATATTTTTACCGTATTAGTTTAATCTTAACCACCATAAAACTACTTAAAAAACAACACTGTAATATCTAATCTTCACGCTAATGCAGTCTTCCTAACAAGCACTGGCATAAACTTCAAGTTGAAGGCGCCATTTATCAAAAACAAGAAAAAGAAGAAGAAGAAGAAGAAGAAGTCCTATGCCTAATTAGGAAATTAAGTTGTCTAGTTTTCCCATTGCTTTCAAATAGACAGAGCTAAACTGGTTTGGAGTTACTTTCCTATTTATGTCACCATAAGAAAGCTAGAGTTATAGATATTTGCAAAAACAAAATATTTGTTATGATTTCCCGTTTCACAGGACATGCCTCGCTACAATCAAAAGTTTTTGTCATCTTTTTTCTTTTCCTTGTTGCAGCTGATGGCCAGAAGGTGTTATTCAAAACAAAAAATTTAACAACTTTAGACGTTTTGCTGAAATTACATGGGATGTGTACAGAAAAGGATCCTAAAAAGCTGGAAACAAGTACAATTGACACAAAATCATCTCGGAAAAAGGTTTCGAAAAAATGATACAGAGCAATCTGTATTGTGTATGCATTGTGTTGTGTGAAAACTGTGAGTAACCAGAGAGTTGTTAAATTCTTCGTTAAAAGTGTTGGTGTCTAACTTGAAGGTGATTACAGGAAATTGATCAGGAGTCAAGCTCTTAAGGCCCTGAAAGTAAAATGATAAAGATTACTTCATTCATTAGACTGGAAGTGTGTGGGTATATAACTGGTTAAACATTATCTTTTGTAACCTTGCTCAAAAGTGAAGCATCAATATCATATTCATCAGCATTTAAAATTGAGTTTTTCATGGAAGGGAAAAATGCATAGTAAAATCTTAAAACGTCTGAAAAGTACATACAATACCAGGTACGATGATCTGACGAAAGAATTGTATAAAATGACAAAGTTAACTGCTCAGCTGTTCTATACAAGTGAATCTATGGTATTTGAACGTCAAAATGTAGGGATTCTGCTGAAATATAAAAAGGAAGTGAAAAATTGGTCGCCTTATATAATAGGAAGACTATGCAAATATGTAAATAAATACATTGTATATCATTAATTTTTAAGAAAACCGAACTTAAGAAATATTTTACTATAGCAATTTGCTGTAAATACTAAAAATCTGTATACTTGACACCTTCCGATGAGTGGTAGTCTGTCCAACTGAAACAGAAACCCACTCCACTACTATAATACTTAGATTCGAAATTTTCTTTTCGAATGGTACTTTATAAGTTGGTAACAATATTACTAACAAGTATGAGATGCAGGGTGAATCATTTTTTGGATTAAACGAGTAAAGAGTCTCCATAATGCTACAACACACAAACCTGAATATCAACAAATTATCATAGAACCATCTACCGGTATTAAACAACAAATTTCAGAATTAATTTCCCTTCACTTATTGATGCTCCATAGCTACAGCACAGCCAGATTTCAACCTATCTACTGAGTATGACATTGTGTAAATTGTATATCAATGGAAAAAATATTTTGTGTGTGGAAAGAGATGGAAGTATTTGCAATTGTGATACATGAGTTTTGTTTGTAAAATAAAGTTTTTGGCTGAATGAAAACATGAAATAATTATATTCCTTGGTCTGTTATTAATTAATATATAATTTTGTACTGTATTTATATAGTTAGCTCATCTGAGATTAAAAGAAACACCACAGCGCTAATACACAAAAAAAAAAAAAATCACAGATCAAATTTGATTTAGAGGAAGTGATCACAATAATGAGTGGAACTCATGTTCCTCGCAAAATAACAGGTGCTTTAGAGTGGTAAGTACTGTCACAATATATATAGTAGGCATCATGTTCCCTGCAAAATAACAGGTGATTTAGAGTGGTAGGCACTGTCACAATATATATAGTATACATCATGTTCCCCACAAAATAACAGGTGCTTTAGAGTGGTAACAAAATATCACAATATATATAGTAGACATCACACTCCCCACAAAATAGCAGGTGCTTTAGAGTGGTAACCAACTGTCACAATATATATAGTAGACATCATGTTCCCCACAAAATAACAGGTGCTTTAGAGTGGTAAGTAACTGTCACAATATATAAAGTAGGCATCATGTTCCCCACAAAACAACAGGTGCTTTAGAGTGGTAACAAACTATCACAATATATATAGTAGACATCATATTCCCCACAAAATAGCAGGTGCTTTAGAGTGGTAACCAACTGTCACAATATATATAGTAGTCATCATGTTCCCCACAAATAACAGGGGCTTTAGAGTGGTAACCAACTGTCACAATATACATAGTAGTCATCATGTTCCCCACAAAATAACAGGTGCTTTAGAGTGGTAACGACCTGTCACAATATATATAGTAGTCATCATGTTCCCCACAAATAACAGGGGCTTTAGAGTGGTAACCAACTGTCACAATATACATAGTAGTCATCATGTTCCCCACAAAATAACAGGTGCTTTAGAGTGGTGACCAACTATCACAATTTATATAGTAGGCATCATGTTCCCCACAAAATAACAGGTGCTTTAGAGTGGTAACCAACTGTCACAATATATATAGTAGACATCATGTTCCCCACAAAATAACAGGTGCTTTATAGTGGTAACCAACTGTCACAATATATATAGTAGACATCATGTTCCCCACAAAATAGCAGGTGCTTTATAGTGGTAACCAACTATCGCAATATATATAGTAGTCATCATGTTCCCCACAAAATAACAGGTGCTTTATAGTGGTAAGTACTGTCACAATATATATAGTAGTCATCATGTTCCCCGTAAAATAACAGGTGCCTTAGAGTGGTAACCAACTGTCACAATATATATAGTAGACATCATGTTCCCCACAAAATAACAGGTGCTTTAGAGTGGTAGACTATCACAATATATATAGTAGACATCATGTTCCCCACAAAATAACAGGTGCTTTAGAGTGGTAACGACCTGTCACAATATATATAGTAGACATCATGTTCCCCACAAAATAACAGGTGCCTTAGAGTGGTAACGAACTGTCACAATATATAAAGTAGTCATCATGTAAATGTGGAAATTTATCAGAAAGCTTCAAAACATACATGAAATGAAGGAAAATATTATAAATACTGTCAGTTATTTTCATAAGCTGACTGATGTGATTAAAAGGTGTTCTGCTTTGGGTACCCTTCAAGCTAAAACTTCCAATCAGACACGACTCAACAATATGGGTCACAAAATGAAAGTTAAGATAACTACTGCTAAATAGTGTTAAATAATTGATGTTCCAATAAATAAATAGGAAGTATTATTATATTGTTTTTAGAAGTTTTCCATTTTGTGTACCCTCATACTGTGGGTAAAAACGGTGTGATACTCATATACCGTGACCAGTCTTCCAAGAGAAACTGACCAGGTTAACAAATTTCGTGAAAAATGAAACCTGACTTTCGTAGGTCATAATTAAAGTTACACTTTGCAGTCTTTCAATGTACATACACTTCATACTGTATACTTGGAAATGTTCGCCCTTCGATGGTAAAATCAATACAAATGTTACAGAGGGCAGAGAAGGCAAATAAAACTGTAGCACAAACTCCAGTATACAGTATTTTGAGAAAATGGATTGCCATCTTGCTGGGGACGGCGGGGGGCGTATTGTGTATATTGCTGAAATCCAAGAGCTGTGCCAGATGTGTACAGCTGTACTAGACTGATCAAGGGGAAGAGATCAATTGAAGAGCAATCCTTACCTGGTATTTGTTATTATGGCACATTATGATAGTAATGTGTATAAACACATCCAGTACTGATAGTTGGAAACTTGTCTTTTCCTATCATATCTTTACTTGTACATTTATATTTTCTATAAGAATGCTACTTCCCTGCATGTCAAAAGGGATTATATTTACTATGGAATCTCCCTGGGACATAATGATTCAATCTTGACTATATGCTTGATCTTCTCACCACCCCTGAAGGCAGAAGAGTTTTACGAAATAATTTTATGCCCACTCTCACAAAATCATGTTGTTGTGTTGAAGAGTTTTCAAGTTTGTTCAAAGAAATGACCTTAACCCCAATTCAATATTACATAGCAGGGCCAAATATGTTTAAACATTGAGTAGAACTTAAGTGAACTTTGAGGCCTAGACATGTTTATGTGTGAGGGGCTATATGATTTGACACATCGGCTCAAAGGTCAGATGTCTTATAATCTTAGTCCTAGAGTCATGACCTCATGATAGGTAGACACTTTTTAGTTCACCAAACTGAAAGTGAAGTGAGCTGGTGTTGTGGAGTGAATTTTTGTTGTCTGTAAACTTTTATTAAAAAATCATAATATTACTGTATGTAGTCTATGTGTAGTGAATAAGTAATTTTGCATGACTATATAAAGCATTTTCAAGTGCTAAAATATGAATCAAGGAATCTTAGGGTTCAATATCCTAAACACAGATTTCCAATGGCTTAACACCTCGCACACAAGTGTTGTAATAAAGGTGACAAACTCCAAATCCAGTCACACAGGAACTCAGTGGGACAAACTAATTACTGTGATTTTGGATATTGTTATGCGGATTTGGATTGCTACAGGAGAAATTAGCCAGAAGCGACTGAAACTAAGTAAACCTGCTCTTAATCGGTTCCCCCTCATTCTTCACAAGCCTGAGAGCATCTCCCCAAAGCTTTTAAAGAAATCAGTGAGACAAAATAACTGGTTAACAAAATGTCCGGGTCCATGGAAGCTGAGGATAGTCAAAACTCGTCAACAAAGGAAAATATAAGTGTAGCCGAACTGGACTGGGTCGATTGTCGGCGACCAGGTAGCTCAATTGGTAGAGCATCCGTCTAGAGTTCGGAGGGTTCTGGGTTTGAAACCCTGTCTTGCCATTGCATTTTTCTTTCTCCGGTGACAAAATTGGCGAGCTTGCCAACCCTTGTTTTAAGCACTGGGTGAATGCTTTTCAAGGGGATATCCAAACCCGAGTTGTAAATAGTTGTGTCTTCAGGGATGAAGAGAGGTTGGGTAATGACTATAACATAACTGTAAATGTTTCTATACGACTCCCTAAATTCTGAACTCAATTGGAATAAAAATATTCAAATATAAGAATTTTCATAGGGGGGTACTTTTTGGTCAGGGTATAAAAAGTATCCGGGGGGTACATTTTGGTCTGGTGTATAAAAAGTATCTGGGGGATGGGCAGTTAAAGAGAGGTTGGGTAATGACTATAACATAACTGTAAATGTTTCTACTTGACCCCCCAAAACTTATTGTTGCAAGTGATTGAAAATTGTTTCAGCATAAATTTCCTGGCCCCAGGGATGGGGATTCGGTGCGGAAGGGGTGGATAAGTATCCCCCTGTAACATCCTGATTAATTTCTGAACTGTTTTGGTTTTAAAAATATTCAAATATAAGATTTTTTAACATGGGGGGGGGGGGGGTACTTTTTGGTAAGGGTATAAAAAGTAAAGAGAGGTTAGGTAATGACTATAATATAACTGTAAATGTTTCTTCATGACTCCCCAAACCTTACTGTGTCCAGTGATTGAAAATTATTTTGGCATAATTTCCTGGCCCCAGGGGTGGGGATTGGTGGGGTAGGGGTGGATACATATTCCCCTATACTGTCCTGTTCAAGTTCTGAACTCAATTGGATAAAAAAAAAAGAGATTTTTTTTTTTTTCATAGGGGGTACTTTTTGGTCAGGGTATAAAAAGTATCCGGGGGGGGTTTACATTTTCGTCAGGTGTATAAAAAGAATCCGGGGGGTGGGGAGTTGAAGAGAGGTTGGGTAATGATTATAACATAACTAAATGTTTCTATATGACTCTCCAAACCTAATTGTGTCCAGTGATTGAAAATTATTTGGACATAATTTCCTGGCCCCGGGGGTGGGGATTGGTGGGGTAGAGGTGGATAAACATGCAACTGTAACCTTCTGATCAATTTCTGAACTGTTTTTGATTAAAAATTTTGAAACATTAGTTTTATTCTGCATAAAAGGTATCCGGATACTATTTAAGCAGGAGGTACATTATATGCATGACACCGGAAGTGCAGTGAATTGTATTATGGGAAGCAGACACGTGTTCAAGTCAACTAAAAGATGCAGGTTTACATCAACATTCTAAGGTATAAACAGACTAAAATAGCAAGTGATTTATATTTTACCTTTAAAAGATTTGAGAAATAACGGTTTAAAAAAAAAAATTGTCAATCTAATAGTGGCTATTAAATCATTACAGCGTGCCTAATATAGGCTTTTGGAAGTGGGCGTAGTTCAGCGCATCAGTGAATATGATGTACGTGGGCACGCAGAATCAAATCAAGTATGATAATCAAATTACGAGTCATAAATGGAGTAATTACCAAAAAGAGAAGATTCAGATGAATTGCCATATCTCCCCTCTTCACAATTGTTTTATCGAGTAGGTGGGTTTGGACACAACCCATATGTGTGAATGCACTTAAACCCACCCTCCCATTTTGTCCCCTGTGTTACGTAGTTTAAGTGTGTTTACAGTTATTTGAGTGAAACTTTCTGTGTAAAAACTGACAAGAATCATATGGTGTAGGTAAACTGGTGGACTCTCAGTAATTAGGTGTAGCTCATTTAGTTAGAGCGTCTGTCCAAAGTCTGGGTAATAAAACTTATGCGCCCTAGCTTTGTAATACAGATCGTTTTATTACAAACGTGTAATGTGATGTCTCCGTATAACAGGCCATAGAAAGAATCTGTATCATGTTATTATAACTTGATAAGTAATTGTGTTATGAGAGATATTGTGGTGATGTGCTCTTTGACTTTCAGCATTATGATTGTGATGGTGATCATCGTGAGGGCCCGGTCACTCATCAGGTTGTACGTTTACAGGTGTTTTGGAAATATAATTTGGTGGCCTTTTACACCTAAGCCATACACATGTACAGAACTTGCCGGACATGAAGTAAGTTTGTACTGTTCTCTGTGTGTTGTTACCTATATACTTTCTTCTATTGCACTGCATTTAAGGATCCCTGACCATCCTTAAATACAATATTGCAATAATAATTACATTGTAATAAATAGCACCATGAACAACATAAGGTGAGATCGTGTAGTGGGATGGCGGGACTAGGTTATAACTGTATACCGGAAAAGTTTCGCCTTCACATTTAACTAATACCCTGTACTATACATATTATAAGACTCTTTCATGCCCAGAGGTGTAGGATAAGGAAATTCCACCAGAGGGTTTTGCCAAATTTGAAAATCTTGAGGGTGGAATTTCCCTTTCCTACACCGATGGATATGAAAGAGTATTTTTCTCTCATTCCAACTACCAGTATATAAGCTCAGTAATCATGAAAGTTCATTTGGACTGGCTATCATTTTGAAAATATCAATTTTCCCCCCGAGATTTTTGACGAATGTTTCTATCGTGTACGGTAAATATATCATAAAAAAGGTTTTAATTTCATCACATCGCCTCTTCTGCATTGCGGCATCAATTTTTTCTCCAAAATTGTGACATCGCACCATTGTTGAGCCATTGTGTCATAACGTGAAAACGGGTGCAAGCTTAATAGAATCTCTAACCCCCTTGGGGATGAGATAGGGAAATATCAACCCGAGGGGGAAGATTCTTAAGTTGCCAAACACGAGGCTTTGCAGAGTGTTTGGCAACTTCGGAATCTTTTCCTGAGGATTGATATTTCCCTATTTCACACCCAAGGGGGTGAGAGATTTTCTTTTCTCTTTCCCTGTTCTCATTGTGTAGTATATACATATTGTTATGTTAACGTTACAGGCTAAATTCAGGGTTGAAGTGACGTTAATGGATTGTTGACGTGACGTCATTGTATTGTTGACATGATGTCATACCATTGTTATGAATAGGGGAATCCCCCCGTCTCAATGCTAGGGTTAGACAAGGATATCTCGCACCGGTAAAAGTGCTGATACACCTGTGATGTGTGTGAGAAAGATATTTCTTACACCCCTACCTTATCCTAGACAGCTCTATCTGACATATTATCATTACGGAGAGCGAAAAAGTCAAAAATTAAACTGCAGTCAAATTAAATTTCCTGGTATACAGTATATATTTAAGTGAAATCTACCAAGAACCAGGCAGCACATCCTTTGGTAAAATAGTGAGGCAAGAGAAGCACTAAAGTTGCACTGTAATCCACATCACAGGTTTGCAGTGCCACCTGTCTGTTAACTACATTTAAACAAAGGAGTTAACCCATGCTTCTTAACATAGCCCATATAACCGAATAACAGTCAAAAATAAAAAATAAAATTGTTTAATTGGAAGTTAATTAAATAATAGTTTTATGAAAATATTTTGTTGTAATAAAGTCATTTATCTGTCGAAACAATTACTTTTTAGGGCATTCCGGCTATCAACGTGACAACAACACCATCTGACATACGCATGGTGGAGACTGATCATAAGGAGGTAAGAAATATCTGTAAAATTAAGGTAGAGTGTTCCCACACTTTTCTACTTAAGCTGCATGTTTTATGTATATGTTTTATGTACATGTTTTATGTATATGCAGACATTCAATCTTTTTTTTTCTGTTAGATTGAATTACTTAACCTCTATATTCAAAGCTGATTGTAGGCTGCCCTGATTTTGAAGGAATTAGAACATTAGAAGTTATGTTAAAGAGAAAATTTTATGAGCAATATAATCATCATTGGATGTTTTTTGTGGAAATGGAAGTTATAAGAAATGTACATGTATATGTCAGATATTACTTTTCTATAATAAATGTGATGTTTCTGAGTTAAGAATTAATAATATTTGAACATATTTTTATGTAATAATATAACATATTCTTATGTCATATATGTAGTGCTTTACCTGGTTATTCATTTCTGTAACATTTTAAGAGAATTTACATCCTTTTATATGGCTTTCACCAGGTCAATAAATGCTTTAGGTTTCTGGGCTCAAACCCCTTGTAGGGTATGACCCAAGCCTTATATCCTGGGTGCTGTGCCCACCACCATCTTCCCTGTGCCCACCACTCATTTACCATGTAATATATCCTATTTCAAAGTTCAAAGTTTTCTTTTATCCACAAATGTTGAATTAAACATCAGTGATGAACACATAAAGGGAGTTTGTTGATGTTTAACTAAAAGATGCAACTCAGTGCTCATAGCTTCGGCAGGGTGCTAAATATTTCTGGGCAGGTCCCCGTCTTTGTGTTTGCCATATATGAAACACAATGATCTGTGTCCGTGACATTTGTTATCTAGACAAAATTAAAAAAAACTGGAGAACATTTGTTATGATTTTGTGGACAACTCGTACACATTTGTGTGCATACGCTTCACTGGTCATTTGTCTGATGAAGGTGACAGTGTACATATTGTACTAGCCATCGAAACGTCACATAGAAAATCTTATTGGTTGTGTAAAAAGAACTTCTCATAATTTGTTATAAAGAATTTATATCTGACCATTATAATATCTCTTACAGCGCAAAACAGTCTACTTGTCACGTAAGTAAATATCCATGGTGCACAATATATATCCTAAGGGGACTGTATAAGTGATTTATCAGTGATTTCGATAAGATTTACAGTAAGGTAATGATTTCTGGGTAAGCAGAGGTTTGACGAGTGTTGCAGGCACAATGCGAGAAGTGAAGTGATGAGTGGGGAGAGTATGGGAGGGGGCCTGAGGCTCCTCCCCTGGAAAAACTTTTTTATAACTAGTATTTAATTGAAACATACCAGAATTAATTCAAATTACTAAGTAAATTACAGCCAACCTCAAGGAGAGTTGACTTTTCTCATTGCTACATGTAGATTTTATTAAACATGATGCAATATTTTCTACATATTTCAGACATAGTCTGCCTGAAGTTTGTTACCACACATTTAAGAAAATGCTTTTTGTTATATTTTTTTTATAAAACTAGGAAAATTACTGCTCTGTAGTGGTGTATGTTTAATTGATCTAGCAACACTTTGTATCTTTTGTATTTTTCTTTAGTTTTTTTGTTTGTTTCCTTCTTAGCTAAAAACACTTTATCCAATTGATTGTTTTTGTACACCAGTCATCATGTAACCCATGGGTCCCAGCTATCACTGAAATATACATTGCAGCATGGAAAGATATTTTTCCAAAGAATGGAAAGAGTTTTTAAAAAGAAAGGCCTATGCATGATCATAAGTACCGTGGTAGGTCATTTTTCATATTTTCATGTGTTTGCTTTTTAATTAATTCAGCATACCTAAAAGGTAGATTTTCACTGATTTTCGGTAAATTTCAGCATTATTGCAGTACCATTCCCTACTGTTATGAATTTCAAATATATATAGTCAAAGATTATGATATATTGGTCAATCTGATCATGTTTTGGCATCTCTCAAATTATCATCTTGATAAGTTATAAGCTGTGGCAGGTTTTAAAGGTTTCTATGCGTGGATACAAGACTAATTCACTTCGGAACCGGCAAAGTTTATGATTGTCTGTGTAGATATTATGACAGCTGCAAATTGTTTAACTAAAATGTAAGTTTTACTGCAGTATCCTGTATGTCACTATAAAGGATATTTATTTGGAAATTTCAGATTTTTTTCGATCCTGAGAACTTGACCATATTGCAGTATATTATATTCATTGATGTCAGACGAGTTCTTTTTAATGGAAAGAACATATCTTGCTTCCTATCTTTTCAATTTTAAGAAATTGCCAAAAATCAGTTGTAACATATCTTTTAGGAAACGCTTTTCATGTTCATGAATTTTCACCCTACTATATCTAACTTTGACCATACAGTCAATGGTCATTATTGCATTTTTCTATACCTGATTATCGCCATCCGTCCCTCTACAGTCTATTTTTATAAATGTCACAATGGAATATTACATTGCTTAACCAAATATATGATATTTTTCGTTATAAAATAACAAACTAACGTCACATTTCTATCACTTTTAATACAAAAACAAATGCCTGCCTTATCCTCACCAATAGGCTAATCATACAATATTACACAATAATGACAATAGACCTTATTGTCACTATTGGCAAAGACCTGGATGACACTCTACGGGAAATAATGTTGTAAAGTGGTGCAGTGTTGTAAACATTTTTATATCATGTGACTACAGTAATGTGTGTCATTCTAACTTCATTTAAGGATTCCTGTGACGCTAGTACTACCTTAAACTGCATACACTGGAAACCAATTTTACGAGCATGGCTATAGCTTTGACAAAACATTTCGGAAAAGAAAAACATATTTCTTTTGGAACTTTTATGAAAAAATAGAGATGAAATAAATAAAAAATCATCATTAACAGCGTTCTGTTTGTAAAAAAGTCAGCAGGATGAGACTGGGATTCTAACCCTGAATTTACACTCTAACCAACTGAGCTACTGTACCGGGTCAGCGGAACAGGCCTGGTCCAGCTGTGCCACAGTATTGACCAAATATGAAATTAAAGGGAGGTAACTGTGTATACAAAAAACAGAGTGCAGTGATACAGGGATCTTTAAGGTAAAGGGTACCACTGAACAAATAATAAACACCGAGAAGAGTTCCACTTCAGTGATTTGTTTTTAACATGAAATATTCTTCTTTATGTATAGAAATTAAAACCTACAGTATTTAAGGATTTTCTTTTGGTGTAGAACTACTAATTCCTTGGCAAGGTACTTTTCTTTCATTTTGATACTAAGCATTTGCAATTTCCCAACAGCAACATTGATGTAGGAATGGTAGTGGATAGGTACTGAGTTTGATCCTTGACATTTCTGTTTTCTGTAAACATGTACCAGTACATTTTTATCCCACCTTCTAAAATTTAATTCTTCGAAATGCATATCAGAAAATTTGTTTAATATATGGAATATATCTGTTGAAAATGACATAAACAATATTTTATTGTAAAAGTACCATCAGAAATGATAAAATTAAACTTAAAGGTTGTACTCTTTTACTTCATTTACGTAGAAGTTGATTAACAGCAAAGTTGTGTTAGAAAATTTATAATCACATTAATTAGAAATATGGTGCTTTCTTGTATTTAACAAATATTACGTTTCTCATGATTTACACATTTCTGTTGCATCATAACTTCTTAACAAGTTTTCCTCATATTACCTCGGCAATCATCATTTTGTAAAGGGAATTATTTTGTTCAGACATAATATTAATTTCAGGGCTTTCAATTGACCCTTGTCCTTTAGCAAGTTCAGTAGCCAAATAGAATTTTCGCTCAATTTTAACCAAATAGGTGTTTCAAACCCAAGAGTCAATGAAAACCTTTTGGGGAGTCAAAACCATACTCTTAGGGTCTACGGAAAGCCCTGCATTAGAGTTATCAAATAACCTAAATAACATTAAATGTGAGGTTGTTCATGTTGTTCTTCCTTTTGTGTCAGCATGTCATCTTCATCATTCATGGTCATTATTGTTATCTCTTTCTATCAAACTTGAGTTGTAATTTTGAATATTGACACTGTCGTCACTGCTGAAGTGTATGTGCTGATTGCTTGAATTACATTGCTATTGTCAGTCTGTCTATATACAGCATGATAAGTAGGATAACTTCAATAATATGTATCTGTGCATTAGCGATGTGTTTAACAGGATTGATGGGCAGTTTTCATATTCTTCCCACCATTCAGTAGATCATGACTTTACACAACAAATACGAGCAGTCCCTACGAGCTTGTAAATAATAGCCTAACTAAAGTCCAAGTTTCTGTGACATGTGTGGTGGAATTTATACCAAACATGATGGATTTGCAAAACTGCGAGATCTCTTAGATTCTCAGAGTTCTGCATACATCCCTATAGTCACCGGTTAAAAGTATTATCAGTGTTATAGAGGTTTCAACATTATAATTTACAGGCCTGCATGCTTATAAACTCTCAAACTGATTAGCCTTAATGACTGAGCTCAAGTCTTCCAATCTACCTTCTTGTCATTCGACTAAAAGATATTGACTAAATTTACTCTGGTGCATCCTTAGGCCAAGGACTCTCAATTACTCTCAAATGGTGCGTGTGACCCTCCTGGGTCACTATAAGGGAAATAGGGGTAATACGTTGAAAATCCTTCTCCCACCATAGGGATCAAGTGTTTTTATCCCAATTTGGTCTTGAGCATCCTTGGGACAAGGGGACTCAATTTTGTATAAACGGTGGGTGTGGCCTCCCTAGGGGCAGAGGAGCGGGTCACTATAGGGGAAATGAAGGTAAACCTTTACAATCCTTCTAAGGGATTTTATTCTAATTTAGTTTGGAGCATCCTTGGGCCAAGGGGACTTAATTTTGAACAAATGTTGGGTGTGCCCTCCCGTGGGCAGATGGGTGGGTCCAAATAGGGGAAATAGAGGTAAATCTTCCTTTGGCCAAGGACTCAATTTTGTATAAACGATTGGTGTGGCCCCCTGGTGGTAGAGGGGTGGGGTTAAATAGGAGAAATAGGGGTAAAACCTTTAAACAAATCCAAGTGAGCCATACAGGCCTTCTGGGCCCCTTGTGTTTCACCTGAGACCAATCAAATAGCTAGCTGTGTGCCTTCAATTTTGCTTTGAAATATTCAGGGTTTCAGAGAGCGAAAGTGAGCATAACCCTGGAGTATCGAGGACGAGCTGCCATTTTTCAACGCCTAGACATTCTATAAATATATGTAATAGGTATATTTAGATTGTATTGTAATTAATTATTACTTAGTAATTGGATTAAATATATGCAGATTCATTAAAGGTCCTTATACCATCTTTTACACCAGACAATATATGCATAAACAAAACATGTATAACAAAATTTAATACCTACAATATTTATTTAAACCAATTATTATATATATAGTTAATCATAATTTACATTTTTCTCGTTTATGCCTATCAAAAGGATCCCTCTGATAGGTTTGTATTTATTAAGTACCATATGTTTAACTGGTATCAAATGATCAGATTAGACTACATGTACATGTACTTGTTCTGTGTTTTAAAATTCATATTCAATTAAAAACATATCAAGACATACTATGGATACGACACGTTCACACGAGAAAATGTTATTACAAGTTTCTGGAATTGTGAAAGCAATATGTGATGAGAATTAATTTCCAACTTTGGACCTATTGATGATAACTTACCAAATATAGTTACATTAAAAAAAAACACTCTGTCAACTTTTTTGAGTCATTATTAATATCTCTGTACAATGTTCCTATTATAATGCAGTGATTTGTTATAACAGCATTGATGGAGGTAGCAGAACAGATGCAGAAAGGTTCCAGAGCACAGGCAATGTTTGACTATCTTAAGAAATATGGGGTAAATGGATGATTTCTTCTCTCTGGGAAAATAGAGCTTTCTAATGGTACTCATCATCATGGTTTCAGTGAATTGGTTACAGGTAAAAATGATAACAGGGATCGATGTTAAATGATATTTTACTAAACTACTTTCAGCATTTTATACTCAGCTATTATTTCATTCACTCCTGAAGACACATTTGAACTCTTCCAATTCAAAGGTTGGAGCAAGTTAATCACTATATATATATTATATTTAAAACTACTAGTATATGTATACAACTGTCTTTGGCACTTCAAGTTTTAATGTCAATTTAGCACTCTAATCATTAATGCATTAATTAGCATAGAAAAATGTGATTTGTTTTTCTACATTTAATTTAATTTCTACATGTGTTTGGTATGACAACTTTTCCTTTATTTTGCCAGGACCTTGGTAGACCTATTCACCCTCCATGGGAGCCTCGAAGAATTCCTGCTGGTAAGCACAAAGAAAACAGGATCAAGTTTAATATTCTGTTCATCACACATTTGATATTCTGTTCATCACACTTTTGATATTCTATCAAAACCAGCATTATTTGGAACTGAACTTTTTCTGAACATTCCAAAACCAATTCTCATGCTGGTTCTGTGATATTCAGATTCTGTGCTTGCGCTAAATCCTAGTTTAAGTGAGATATCACATTTTATACTTTGCCTAGACTTATTTCTGTTAGGATTTCTTATTATGGTTATTATTATCTTTTTATTTGAACCTATTAAAATATTTGGAACACATTCTTGTTGTGATTTGTCAATTATAATATTTGATCATTGTATATATATATATATATCTGTCAAAGACTTTCACTCAAATTTTTTTTTTTTTTATAAGCTTAATTTTTGATGTAATGTTCCATACCTCACAAATATGTGATAATTAATTATTTATCAAATGGACTGAAAATGCACATATCAAGATAGTGAGATTCAATATGCATCATTAAATACTGTATTAATTTTACAGCTTCTGAAGATTCACAAAGCCCTCTACCAGAACTGGAGGAGGTACGTTAAACAGCTCGGATTTATCTTTGTCTATTATTCCAATTCATTTGAGATGTAACACAGCATTTGATTGGTCAATCAAACTAACTTTGACCCCATAACCATGTAATTTGTTTCTCTTTGGAACAAGAAGCCCAGATGGTGATTGTTAATGAAAATGATTATAAGGTCATATACAATAGCATGGCCATGAAAGATAAATGTTATTCTGCCTCAATTTGGATGTCTCCGTGACATTAATAACTAATCCGAGTAGAGCAACCCAGATCTCTGTAAAATAAATAAAAATAACCAAAAATCTTTTTTTTTTGGCAGCCATTTACCGTAATTATAACTAATATAAATTGGAATGGTGATCATTATCGTCTTGACTGTCACAAATATCTGTTTTATGGTTTTGCTCTGTGTCAATGGTAAAACTCTGTTTGTGACAGTATATATAGCATATTGATGCTGCAAATCCCAAAAACAGAGAAAGATTGTCTCCTCATAGGAGTGGATCCTAGAGCTGCTTATTTACAGCAATTGATCTAGCTGCAGTTTAATTTGGGTTACCAGGTACCATTTCTTACCTGGCTGCTTTTGGGGTCTAATTATTACAGTCGCTGTCGTGCATTAACAATCAAACATTTTCAAACTTCTTCTTCAAGACAGCTCGTGTGATTCATTTCAAACTTGGTACAATTATTCCTTATGATGTCCTGACCAAGTGTTGTTATTTTTCGTGCCAATCCGAAATTCCAAGACTGGTCTCTGATTGGCTGGGACATTTTTTTACTTATTCTCAAGAATGTTTTAAGCAATTGACTCCTACTTGGTATAATTGTTCCATTTGAGGTCCAGAACAAGTGTTCTTACTTTTGGTGCCGATCCCAAAAATTCAAGATGGACATCCTGGCCTCTGATTGGCTGAATCATTTTCAACTTCTTCTCACAAGAATGACTGCACCAAATGACCCAGTGCAGATGTAATAATTACAAACCTCATGCGTTTTACTCAATTGAGTGCTATTTGATTGGCCGAGACATTTTCGTCTTTTTTGAACTCATGTCAGCATTAAGGCCCTTTGGGCCTCTTGTATAAGGGTTACCACTAGATGCAATGCTATTTTGTGGTATCTAGCTACATAGGTACATAATCATGAGAGGGCAGCAAAGGGAACACTAAAACTTTGATGTTTCAAACTTTGCTGGACCTTCGGAGAAAATTTGAAATGTTGAAACTTTGACTCGCAAACGTTGAACTTTGAATATCTTCCAAGATCCATGATGCATTAAGCTGAATGTGATTTAATTTGAAATTCATAAATATTGGATTGAATTTAATGGGGAAAATATGTTTACATGTACATGCATTTATTCACTGTAGTTTGCATCTTTAAGTATTACAACTTAAAGACATTTCAATGTTCTGTTATAGGTAATTGTTTTTCTTCCTTTATTACGTTATGTAGTGTGTAAATTTTGAATGTTTTGCTACCGATCGGACCTTGATTGTAGTTCGAAACAGGAAGAAATTTAGCTCATAATAGTTCGATTCGTTAGTGGAATATCAGTTGTGTTAAATAAGGAAAACATTCAGACATTATCATAAGTTTGACACGTCGAGAAATTGGAATCTTTGAAGTTTGACTGTATGTACCCTTTCCTCGACCCTGTCCTAGGGGAGAACACTCAAAAATCAGACTGTTATATTTCTACCACACGCATTCTGTGAATATTTGGGGAACGCTTCTATGCAATTGGACCAGAAAGCTTAAATCAGCAGTTTTTGTATAATAACGTTTATGCTGTCCTGTGAACTGGCATGTATAGAATATAGGGAAAATGAAAGTTAATCAAATTCCGGACGGGATCTCCAAATTTCATACAAATGAAAAAACACATGCTGTTTTTCTTGGGTGATATAAGCGTTGATGGAAAACCATCAGTCATGTTTATTGTGGTATTTGTACAATGTTCTACATATATTTTTAGCAATAAAATTTAAGGTTTCGAGTTTCGACTGGGTTTATGTGCCACTCTATGGTCACCGAGATTTCTTGTCCTCTATTGTAGGTTGTTGTACACAGCGGTGACAACAGAGATGGGCGATGTCGAACAGGTAAAACTTTATTGCGGTATAAAATACTTATCTCAGTCTAAAATAGACAATGCTAACTGGTAAAACATGTTTAAAGAAGAATACATATGTAAAATATTTCAAATGTAGTTCACGTTAGCATAGAATTTTTTCTTACTGAAGAAGTTACCATTTTTTTTCTGAAATTTAAATCCCAATTCATAATTCTTAATCTTGAAATGTATAACAGAAAGTTAAGTTAATTTCTCATTAATTATTTATCAAATGGACTGAAAAATGCATATATCAGGATGGCGAGATTCAATATGTATCATTAAATACAGTATTAATTTTACAGCAGAAGATGCACAGAGCTCTGTACAAGAACTCCAGGAGGTACGTTAAACAGCTCGGATTTATCTTGTTTATTGTGGTATTTGTTCTACATATGTTTTTAGCAATAAAATCGAAGGTTTCGAGTTTCGACTGGGTTTATGTGCCACTCTATAGTCACCAAGATTTCTTGTCCTTTATTGTAGGTTGTCGTAGACAGCAGCTGTTACAACAGAGATGAGCGATGTCCAACAGGTAAAACTTTATTGCCGTATAAAATATCTCAGTCTAAAATAGACAATGCTAACTGGTAAAACATGTCAAATGAAGAATACATATGTAAAATATGTCAAATGTAGTTCAGGTTAGCATAGAATTTTTTCTTACTGAAGAAGTTACCATTTTTTTTCTGAAATTTAAATCCCAATTCATAATTCTTAATCTTGAAATGTATAACAGAAAGTTAAGTAAATTTCTCATTCTATTTACTAGCAGACCGTGAAAGGGTTGATGGTTATAGGCGCTCTGATGGTGCTGGCAAGGACAACATGGTATGTATGATGGAACAGTAAACAATGGAACTTTGGTAATCTAGACACTGCCAGGCAACAGAATTACCAGGAGACATAATGCTGTTGTTCAGTTCTAAACTCATTCTTTTTTTACTTACCTCGCCTGAAAAGGGCTGTCTGAGCTTACAAACATAATATTGCTTTTTAGCCTACTTCTCAAGATGGACTGAAGTTGTACATGTTTGCTTTTTGGACCAATCGAAAACACAAGATGGCCCCTAGGCAGCCATCTTGGATTTTGAGAGTTCAAGTTTGTTATCCCTTTTTATGTCATCTGAGCTTTGCATTGTGTGTTTCCACCAAACTTAGTAGGGACCATCCTTGGTGGAAGTGGGTATCAAATTTTAAAATTGGGATGCCTGCCCCAACCCCAGGGGCCAGGATGGGGCCCTACAGGGAAAATTAAAAGATATTTCAAAAATCTTCTTCTCCAGACTCAGATGTCAATTCTCACAACGAATGAAAAGATTGTCAGGGGCCTTATTCTTTTTTTATTTTTTCAAGTTCATTCTAGTTTATATATATAAAATAAATGTTTATCGCAGGCAGCAAAATTGCTCAAGCTAAAGACGACTGTCTTGTGGCCTTTGTTTTTTATACATGCACCAGGTAGTCCTCTTGGATTCTGCAATTTGAACTTTAGCAATCTGTGCCATTAAAAATTCTAAAGTTTACCGCATTGTAAGTGTGCATTTCATCATGTCTTGCCTACCAAAATTGGAATATTGATGACAGCGAATTCAATTTGTTCAGATAACAAACGCGACAGGTGAGTGATACATGCCCAAAAGGCACATAACCTACCAAGACTATTAAAATATATCACTTGTTTTATATATTTTAGGAAAATGCTTGGACTACACCAGGACCACCCTTACCACGTATGGAGCCTTCGGGTATACCACCAGCTGCATCAAGGACCAACCCAAATTAGGCTTGCAAGTACATAACAGAATTGGCCACAAAGATTTTGAAATAAATGTACATAACAGAATTAGTGTTGAAGAAAATTTCACCAAAACATGTTTTTTTTTTGCTATTTGAAATATTTTGTCATTACTCTGTGTTTGTATTATTTTGTTTTGTAACCATAGCTTTAACTTGCCCCAGAACTATTGTTCTAGTCTTCATTCTATGTGTAAGTGTATAATTGATTCTGTATATCTCTTATAGAAGGTGTACATGTATAGGTGTCAAGTTAACTCATTTTACAGCAACATATTTGGCTGTAATTATGCTAGAATTGTAATTCAAGTCTTTGCAATGTTGACTTTTAATTACAGTATAACTGAATTTATATTCATATTTAATGCTATTACTCGTATATATTATTGCCGTAGATTGTAGAGAAGGCCTCAAGGGAGAATAGTTTTGTAACTAGTTGAGCTACCTTCTATATATAAAGCATTATTATTATTATTATTATTGTTAAAAAAAACTCTCACTTTGTAAACATGTTTAGTATATAAAGTTTGGCAGTATGGATTGACAATATGTTTGTGCTGTCAGGGGCGAAGCTACCTCTTGTTCTGAGTGGATTTATTTAAGAGTGCATACTTGCCAACTCTCCCTATTTTCGAGGGAGATTCCTGATATTGGACCCTAAAATTGAGCATTTTTAACAAGTAAATTTGCTTAACTGTTCCTATTTTCTAAAATCTGACAATTTCATCTGAAAGAACAGCTCCAAAGATGCTCTTTCAAGGTGTTACTTTTTCCTTAGGGTGTACATATTCACATATTATTTATGCTTTTTATTCTGAGCACACATAATCTCCCCCATAGAAGTTTTAAAAAGTTAGTAACAGAGCGGGTCTAGGGCAGGGCCTTGAAAGTGGGCCAAGCTGGTATTATAAACTGTTTTTTGTTTTGTTTTTGTTTTGTTTCAAAATTTGTTGGATTTACCTGCATACAGCTAGCGTATTTAACCTTTTTAACTACATAACTTTACCAAACTCTACCATGCATTGATCTGGATGAGTCCATTATGGCCTACAGTGGGGAAAGGGTTAAGGCAGCTACTCCCTTGAATGTACAATTTGGTCACACAGGTTTCACCTTACAACTGTACACATCTCTAACTACTGTGTATTTATATACAACTGAAAATTCAAATAGTGTGAAACCTGAACTCAGAGACCACTTTAAGGAGGTACACTAAGTGGTTCCTTATAACAGGTGCCTGTTGTCTCATTATCTATTGATTCAATTAACATGAAAATTACTGTAATGGAGAATTCTAAAAGTGGTCTCTTAATACAGGTGGTCTCTTAATACAGGTGGTCACTTAATACAGGTGGAGTTAGCATGAAATTGACTGTCATATGGAGTTTTAAGGTATTTTGACATCTGCTGTCTCAATACAGTTTGTCTATTTCTTAACAGGCTTGTAAATAAACAACAAATTTCAAATATATTGATGCCTTACTGGTTATTATTTTACATTTGTATATTTTATACATTGTACATGTATTATTATCATTATTTTGCAGTTACATGTATGACTGGTTGTTGGACTGCACATAAAATAATCATTTATACACCTGAAATGTCCTTTAACATCATAAACAGGAAGTCGGACATTTTGAAACCATGCACTTATTAATTCCTCCATTTACATGTATAAAAGGGCAATAAATAATCTGTTAATGAAATTGTGAATAAAATTAGCTTGTAAAAATATTATTACTATTTTTTTGAATATTTTAAGGATCAAAATTGATAAAGTTGATATCTGCCAGAGACCATTTCTATTTATGGCACTTTTGAGGATTGTTATTTTGTCTGCATACAGATTCTGTGCTCTGGATCAATTCCTAATTCAAGCTGAGTGTCCTAGATTTCTATGATTAATGTTCACTTTTTGTTCCCCATTTATTATGCCAGAAGAGACTATAGGTTTGCTCTTTGTCTGTCCATGTATTGTTTTGTCTGGATGATATATTGTATATTCTGTCATCTACGATAGCCACTACCAACAGAACACAATTCCTCTCCAACATCCGCAGGCATACACATAGGGAGATATTAGCCAGGTGGAAAAGGACTAGCAGTTTAGTGCCTGATAAGGCAGCTCCTGCAAATTCCTTGAACATTGTAATGATTAATGTATTATTCAATGTATATGTTAATTATATTGATTGTATGAAATTATATATCTATGCACTGTATAGCACTTTAGAGTGGCTAATTCTAGCTAGAGAGGGCTCTATATCCGTTTGGGTTGTCTTAGTGTCATGAACTGTTATCAGGTATTATGCCCCACTATTTATAAATATTTGTTTATCATTACAATGTTTAGGCATATTTCATATATTCTGTCATCAACAATGCCAAATTCTGTATGCGAGTATCTCTCGGATTTATTGGTCATTGTATATGAAAATAAGGTTTCTTCCACCACAAATTACAGAGCTACAACCCTTTGCACACAGTATGGCACATTTCTGGGGCATGTCGCATACTCTGCTAACAGAAATTGCCATATTTTGTATGCCGGTACCAGCACGAGAGCTTTTGCCTTCCCAAGATTTATAAATATGATAAGTTTGGTCAACGTAGGTGAAATAACATGGAACTTATGCTCCGGACAAACTTCGGTATTAAAAATGAACAAAGGGCCATAACTCTGTATATAGTGGGGCACGAGACCTAATTCTAGTGCACTGCACACCTTCTGTGGGTGAGGCAGGTATACTTCAAGTTTGATCAAGATATCTTTACTTGTTTAAAATTTACGGGCCAGACAAAATTTACTGAAAATGCTGCACTTATTTAACCTTTGACCTTAAGGTGAAGGCCACAGTGACCTAATTCCAGTGCACAGCAAACCTTCTATGGGTGATGTAGGCATACCTCCAGTTTCATCAAGATATCTTTAACGGTTAAAAAGTTATGGCCCGGACAAGTTGTGATGAGAAGAACCAGAAGAAGAAGAACCAGTACTAATACAATATGTCTCCCTTCATTCGAAGGGGAGACATAATTAAGGGGGAAGGAAGTAACTTGAAGTAAAAACCACTACAGTGGAACTCTCTAGTGTTTTACCTGCATTGGGACAGGGATCCTTAACTGCTACCACCCAGAGGTCACAGGTTACTGTGGGTTTGTACATGTGAAACAATCAAAAGTCTGTATTATAACTGATAATCATCATCAGTTGATCTCTTCTAAGGAATCACAAGTAATGCCTGACAGTATATCACAGTAAGAGGTAGAAATGTCTAGATCCAAGAGTCCTCATAACTTTGATGGGGGATCTGTCTTGGAGTCTGAGAACTTGCCGTGCCTGCCTGCTCCTTTGGCAAATGACCTTGCTCCTGTTAAACAGAAAAATATCATTTTATTTCTTTAAGTCCACTAAGTACCATTTACCTCCAAGTATGAACAAAATTTTACCAAAAGAATAAGAATTATAGGTGCATATATATCAGCCAATCGAAGGAACCAATGATGGCCATGTTAGAATTTCCAAGTACCTGGTGATATGTTATTATTAGCGAAGTACCATCTACCATCAAAATGGACACTAAAAGTGCAATTCCATGTATTTTTGACAGGATCTATATATTCTGACTGTTCTATTTCTAGTAACAGCGACCTTGACCTTAGCCTTAGGAGCTTGATTAACCTATGATGCACATAAACATATAACAGTGTATCATCATGTGGAATTTCAGAAATTCTAGACATTTGAATTCTCAATTTCCGAGATGATTTCTGCAAATAATATTGTAGATGGAGAGCATGACAGTTACACTGAATTGTATAGCACAGCTACATCTCTGATGTAGGGCCATATAACTATGGGGGTTGTCAACTAAATATCCAGTCCCTAAACTAAAGTGAAATGATCTTTACTATTCAGGTAGTCTTTGCATTACTCTAATGACATCAGCAATGATCAGTCCTCCTTTTGCTCGTTATAAGGATATTATTTTTTACCTGGAAGACTTTCCTCCTGAATGACTTTGATACCGTTGTAAAATTCGCGTGCGAGTGCCTCCTGGAAACTGTCAGTGGTGTACACGCTGTGTAGAGCAGAGGTTCGGTCTGTCCTCATACACCTTTGGGGGAACTGTGCGATGTCTGCTGCAAGGTCGATGGCTGCTTCAAGGACTGGGAGGTAAAAGTAGGCGATAATAACAGAACAGATAAATCTACATTCCTCTATGTCATATTTCATTTGTCTGGAGAAAATTTGATTAAACAGAAAATGTGACATTAATCGAAAGACTTTCTATAAAAAACACTCCTGACTCCCCAAAAAAATTACCAAATACAGTCAACTGCAATGTACATGTAGTAACCAGTATATCAAGTGATAACTTTGTGTAGCAAGTTTCATAAAATTACATTTCCACTGCAAGTTTCTCTATTAGCAGTACAAGAAGAAATTGATAGTTTCATTTTAAAGCCATTATTCTCCTCCCTCATCAAATAACATGTGACAACCGTTGGAAGACACTTGAATATTGAAAACATATGGGAATATATACATATAGGTCAATTATACTAACTAACAATTTAGAATGTAAAAATAAGGATTAAACAGCATTTTTACAATGTTTATGAACTATGATGGTATGAAATTAAATTGATTACATACATATTTACCATGAAGCCCTAGCGGGCTATGGAATGTGTATTGTGTATGTAACTATGTTGCATTCATACCAGCATGAAATTAAAAATACATCATTCAATCCTCATATTCAGAGGTTTTCAGAACAAAATATTCTGTACAAAATTTAGACCAAATGTAAATTAGCATGAACAACACTGAGCTAAGGATATTTGCAAAAGGGGCATAACTCCCATAAAAAAGCTGGATTTGAAAAAAAAGAAGCACAGGTGCATAGATTCATGATGTGATGATTGCATCAGTTTAAAAAAATAAGAATATACAGCAAGAGAAATTGTCCAAACAAGATTTGCCTTATATTTGTTAAAGGGGAATAACTCCCATAAAAAAAATCAGATTGGGAAAGTAAGTACAGTCATCCTACATCAGAGGTTGTCATCACGTAAGAAAATTAAGTGATGTGAAATCTGATTGAAGACTGAAGGAGTTTTTTAACAAGATACTCTCTAGGAAGAGACAACAGACAACCTGATTCATTACATATATTGAAAGTGTATGCATGTCATACACATGTATGTAATTGCTTTTATAATGGAATAAGATTTTAGTTACTACATACAAATACCCCTACCCTATCACAAAATATATCTCATACCTCATGAAACACCTCATACAAGAAACAGTCATCTCTCTAATGGCAAAATAATTGTAGGCCTTACTTGTTAAACCACCGCTTATTGTGCCACCTTTAACTCATTCACCCCTGAAGTTTCATAATGAACTGTTCCAACCTTTGAATTGGAAGGGTTCAAATGTGTCTTCAGGGGTAAATGAGTTAACATCCAACATATTGCATCTCATAATTCGAGGTTCTTTATACATGTGTCTACTTTACCTGTAAAACGAATGTTCATCAAATTTAAATCTATATCATTATAGATTTCAATTATATTGAAACCACACCTGTGCCGGTAGGAACAACTCTATTAGCTAGTCCTATGGTCAAGGCCTCTTGTGCATCCACTGGTCGCCCGGTTAGTATGAGGTCCAGTGCTCGGGACAACCCAATGAGATGAGGAAGGCGAACAGTTCCCCCGTCAATCAGAGGAACACCTGTAACGAGACCTTTGATTAAATACTGTACAGTTGGTAATATTTGTAGGATATTTCATTTGGCTATATTTGTGGTCATGAAAGACAGCACTAAATTGAATACCCAGCAAACATTAATATTGTGAACTATAATCTCCATGAATAATTGTTTACCTGTTCACTGCCAAATAATGAAGATAAACACAACTAAATATCTTATTTAGCTTTTTTCACAAAACACTTGTAAAATGAATCCCATCACCTAAATATAAGTACCCACATGAGCGCGATAGTTTTACCAAGAAATGTGGTGTGAAATTTAATCCCTGCAAACTAGTTCTTATTGGAACAATTGTAAAGAATTAGCCCCAGGAAATTAAACAACAGTAATCTTCTGTACTCAATCAGACACGTAAATATTCAATCAAGGCCATACCTATAATTAGAGAAACACCCCTATGTAGGTAAGATATACCTATAATTAGAGAAACACCCCTATGTAGGTAAGATATACCTATAATTAGAGAAACACCCCTATGTAGGTAAGATATACCTATAATTAGAGAAACACCCCTATGTAGGTAAGATATACCTATAATTAGAGAAACACCCCTATGTAGGTAAGATATACCTATAATTAGAGAAACACCCCTATGTAGGTAAGATATACCTATAATTAGAGAAACACCCCTATGTAGGTAAGATATACCTATAATTAGAGAAACACCCCTATGTAGGTAAGATATACCCAGTATGTGTCTGGAGTACTCATGTGACCTTCATTTTTATGATATCACACTCAAAAGCCGAACAAATAATGGTTTGACTGACTGTGGCAATCTAGCTGGCAACAAGTACATAATAAATGTAATACCAATTCAGGAACATAAAGTTATTGCACAAGCTTGCCCAAAAGGTTTTACAAAGAATTTGAAGTATACCATAAAAAAATTCTGCTCTTTCCTAATATGGCCTTATAGTTTGTGTATAAACATTTTTCTATGTTTAGTTTTGCATTTGCCACTAATAGTTGTGTTTTACCAAAATTACAGTTAAGAGGTAGGAGTCGATTATTATGAAGGTATGTGTGATATAGAAATTCTACATACCCTTGGGTGCAGAATGTGATGTCAGAATCTTGCAAAAGCCTCGGTTCTTACCCAAATTTTACACTTCCCACGTACCAGGTACCTTAACGATACATATGATAGACTCTATTAGTAACCAATAAGACACACCTGTAATCATTCCAAATCATCCGTAAAATCAGTAGCATCTTTTTGTAGAGTATAATAAAGCTACGAAACTTACCAAATCTGCGACAGAAGACACCCATAATAGCGGACTCGTCCACAACCCGGAGGTCACACATGAGAGCAAGCTCCAATCCTCCAGCCACAGCATACCCTGACACAGCAGCAATAACTGGCTTAGACAGCTTCAGGCGGGTAGGACCCTACAACATAGTAATGTCTATAGAACCAAGGGCTTACTTCAATTGTTTCTCATCAAATCTGTTGTGATTTTTATGTAGTTTGATGAAGCTATAGGCTCTCTTGAGAAATAGAAAAATTGAATCTCTGAGTTTTATCAGTTTTCTTGTCTCTCAAGTCTAGATTTAGATTTAGATGGAGACAGAAAAGTGAAAGATATGTAAATAGTAAGAATATAGGACAGAAGAGGATGGAGAGATGGATGTAGAGGATGGAGGGAAAGGGGGAACAATGAGGAGATAGAGGGGTGAGACAAAGTAAAAAGACCTAGGAAAATAGGGAGAATGAATAAGAGGGTCTGGAGATTTGGATGATGATATAAGGAAGAACAGTAATACTACTTGCCATAGGCCCAACATCCGATACGTTCGGTGGTTCTATGCCGTTTTCTGTACCGTCAGATTTAGAGAAGGCTTTCAAGTCATAGCCAGCACAGAAATTTCCACCTAAGAAGGCAAAGGAAATATTATTTTGAAGTCAATGCCTGTTGGCAGGTTTAGTGTTTAACTTAGATTGACAAATTGAATTAATGCCTTGTTCATGGTCCTAAACATTTGCAGAGGTGACCCTGTTACTGGAATAACATATCAAATACTTTCCACTTATTACCATGGTAAACATCTATACTTCTAGTAAATATTCCTAACGAAATACATATTAAACTTTTTTTCTGTTTAATGAGGAAATGAATATACACATATTACCAAGGTCACTTTTTCAAATGCCTACTCTAAAAGTCCAACCTGAGACTACAGATGACTGGTCTAGTATTACCATGGTATACTGAATGAGCTAAAGGTAAATTATCTCAAGCCAAGCCAGAAGAGACAAGATGTTTAACCACTGTGACATACCTCTAGCTGAGTCAGTAACAAGTGACTAGATGGTTCACCACTGTGACATTCCTCTAGCTGAGTGAGTAACAAGTGACTAGATGGTTCACCACTATGACATTCCTCTAGCTGAGTCAGTAACAAGTGATTAGATGGTTCACCACAATGCACTGTGACAAACCTCTAGCTGAGTGTGTAACAAGTGACTATAGATGGTTCACCACTGTGACATACCTCTAGCTGAGCGAGTAACAATTGACTAGATGGTTTACCACTGTGACATACCTCTAGCTGAGTGAGTAACAAGTGACTAGATGGTTTACCGCTGTGACATACCTCTAGCTTAGTCAGTAACAAGTGACTATAGATGGTTCACCACTGTGACATACCTCTAGCTAAGTGAGTAACAAGTGACTAGATGGTTCACCACTGTGACATACCTCTAGCTGAGTGAGTAGCAAGTGTCTTGATGGTTCACCACTGTGACATACCTCTAGCTAAGTGAGTAACAAGTGACTAGATGGTTCACCACTGTGACATACCTCTAGCTGAGTGAATTCCTCTAGCTGAGTGAGTAACAAGTGACTAGAGGGTTCACCACTGTGACATACCTCTAGCTGAGTGTGTAACAGGTGACTAGATGGTTCACAACTAAGACATACCTCTAGCTGAGTGAGTAACAAGTGACTAGATGGTTTACCGCTGTGACATACCTCTAGCTTAGTCAGTAACAAGTGACTATAGATGGTTCACCACTGTGACATACATCTAGCTGAGTGAGTAACAAGTGACTAGATGGTTTACCGCTGTGACATACCTCTAGCTTAGTCAGTAACAAGTGACTATAGATGGTTCAACACTGTGACATACCTCTAGCTGAGTGAGTAACAAGTGACTAGTTGGTTCACCACTATGACATTCCTCTAGCTGAGTCAGTAACAAGTGACTAGATGGTTCACCACTGCGACATACCTCTAGCTGAGTAAGTAACAAGTGACTAGATGGTTCACCACTGTGATATACCTCTAGCTTAGTCAGCAGTAACAAGTGATTAGATGGTTCACCACAATGCACTGTGACATACCTCTAGCTGAATCAGTAACAAGTGACTATAGATGGTTCACCACTGTGACATACCTCTAGCTGAGCGAGTAACAATTGACTAGATGGTTTACCACTGTGACATACCCATAGCTGAGTGAGTAACAAGTGACTAGATGGTTTACCGCTGTGACATACCTCTAACTTAGTCAGTAACAAGTGACTATAGATGGTTCACCACTGTGACATACCTCTAGCTGAGTGTGTAACAAGTGACTAGATGGTTCACCACTGTGACATACCTCTAGCTGAGTGTGTAACAAGTGACTAGATGGTTCACAACTAAGACATACCTCTAACTGAGTGAGTAACAAGTGACTAGATGGTTCACCACTATGAGATTCCTCTAGCTGAGTCAGTAACAAGTGACTAGATGGTTCAACACTATGACATTCCTCTAGCTGAGTGAGTAACAAGTGACTAGATGGTTCACCACTGTGACATACCTCTAGTCGAGTCAGTAACAAGTGACTAGATGGTTAACCACTGTGACATACCTCTAGTCGAGTCAGTAACAAGTGACTAGATTGTTCACCACTGTGACATACCTCTAGCCGAGTCAGTAACAAGTGACTAGATGGTCTACCACTGTGACATACATCTAGCTGAGAGAGTAACAAGTGACTAGATGGTTCAACACTATGATATTCCTCTAGCTGAGTGAGTAACAAGCGACTAGATGGTTCACCACTGTGACATACCTCTAGTCGAGTCAGTAACAAGTGACTAGATGTTTCACCACTGTGACATACCTCTAGCTGAGTCAGTAACAAGTGACTAGATGGTTTACCACTGTGACATACATCTAGCTGAGTGAGTAACAAGTGACTAGATGGTTCACCGCTGTGACGTACCTCTAGCTGAGTCAGTAACAAGTGACTAGAGATGGTTCACCACTGTGACATACCTCTAGCTGAGTGAGTAACAAGTGACTAGATGGTTCACCACTGTGACATACCTCTAGCTGAGTGAGTAGCAAGTGACTTGATGGTTCGCCACTGTGACATACCTCTAGCTAAGTGAGTAACAAGTGACTAGATGGTTTACCACTGTGACGTACCTCTAGCTGAGTGAGTAACAAGTGACTAGATGGTTCACCGCTGTGACATTCCTCTAGCTTAGTCAGTAACAAGTGATTAGATGGTTCACCACTGTGACATACCTCTAGCTGAGTGAGTAGCAAGTGACTTGATGGTTCACCACTGTGACATACCTCTAGCTGAGTGAGTAACAAGTGACTAGATGGTTCAGCACTGTGACATACCTCTAGCTGAGTGAGTAACAAGTGACTAGATGGTTCACCACTGAGACATACCTTTAACTGAGAACAGATCCATCAAGTTTTATAACAAGTTAATACTGTTCTGATACTGTCAAACCTACAGTAAGACCTCGATATAACGCCCTTTGTTTCATGTCCCACCTCACATGCTGCCGATTACATATTTCAAGGCCTTTTTTTTCTCCTTTTCTTCAGAATTCCATTATGTTTCCCTTACTTTATCGCTAAACCACTTTGTAACACCAAACTTTCTCTAAACAAATGATAGCAGTATAGCAAGGTTTTACTATACGTGTTTACCTGTTCCGTGTAACACAGCCACATGGCAGTTCTGGTCCTCGTCAAACTCACGGAATGCTGTGTACAAAGCTTTGGCCGTGGGTGGATCCACAGCGTTCCTCACCTCTGGACGTACGATCTCAATCACACAAACATTCCTGTCCCCGAGAACCTCCACTTTCACAGTACCAATGGCTACATGGGAATATTAATAAAAAATAATAAAATGATAAATATTAAATGAGTGACTATCATAATATAAAATTTCTAAGTGTTTATCACTTATGGTCTCCTCTTGCATTCATTGAACCAGTTGATTTTTTTATTTACTTTTTCAGACTTGGTTTTGATTTATGTTTGAAATAATACACTTTATCATGAGATATTTTATCCTTTTTTTCAACTCTGGCTTTTTCCATGTTTTCCATGGGACCAGGCAACAAGCACCACATTCAGTGTGTTTCCAGCGTTCTTTCTTTTTTATAATCACATCAAATCAGTCTTCTGTAGAAACCAATCATTAATGACTCCTTCTGAATGCTAACAAAAGGCACTTTATGACAACAATGACTTTAGAAAGCAATACACATCAGTTACTATGGGTATTACTTAACTCAACTGTATATATCTGTAACAGAGGTCATCATTTTTTTATGCCTCCACTCGAAGTCGAACCCGGGACCTCTGGTTTAAATGCTAGCTGTTATAGTTTAATGCTGAACTGAATGAGCTTAAGAGAATATTTCCCATCTTATTTGGTAGGAAGGAGTTAATATTTCACCACTGGGTGCAATACTCCACATAAAGGAATAATCCTTGATGGGGACTCGCCCGTGAAATATCACTAGGTTATTTTTGTCAATGTTTCGAAGGTCCCTACGTGGGTGCCACTGTAACAGAGGTCAGTATAATTCATTAAAATGCCTCGGCTAAGAGTGAAACTTGGAACCTCAGTAATTAACCAACGTTTTGCCAAATGAACTGTCACTCTGTTAAAATACTAGCCACTTTCTACCAACTCAGCTAGGGAGAATTTTTTTAGCTCATTGGGGCCCACGTAGGGACCCGGGAGATTTGACAAAAATACTCAGCAACACTTGCGAAAGAATTGCTATGACCCCTGGAAAACTTGAGAAAAGTTCTTTCCTGGAGGGGGAGTATGTCACCCTGGTAAAATACTAGCCGCTTTCTACCGACTCGGCTAGGGAGAACATGTCTTTAGCTCATAAGCCTAGAGCGTAAGCCTAGTTAGCCAGAGGTCCTGGGTTTGACTCCTTGTGGAGGCATTGAAAAAAATATATGTATAATGACCCCTGATACAGAAATAAAGATAATCTCACCCCCGCCCAAACCCCAGCTGAGTCGGTAGGAATTAAAGTAGCTGAGCTAAGTATCTTACCAGCCATATATATATACAGGCTCCTGATCATTGATCACCAGTTTCTGGACTTTAAGCATTGATATGTAGCAGAACTGGACTTGGTCAATCATAGACAACTATAGGTAGCTCAGTTGGTAGAGCGTCCGTCTAGACTTTGGACGGTCCCAGGCTCCAACCCCGGTCTGGCCGTGCATTTTTCCTCTCCTAAATCCATAACGCTCAAAACATTGCAGCAACACTGGACTGGGTCGATTGCCAGTGACCAGGTAGCTCAATTGGTAAGAGCGTTCGTCTAAGGTTTGAAGGTCCCTGGTTCGATTCCCAGAAACTTTATTTACATATACATTGTCTTTGGCAGATGAGATATGTATCAGATAATGATAAATGTGTCACTTTACTGTTTTTCATTAATAGTTGTAACAGAAGAAAGTGATATACCAGTATAATTTCTACCGGAAGAAAATTGTCTGGGTATTCTAGACATTGATGACGCCAAGTACCCGATCAATCGTCTCCGGAACATAACGTAACGTACACTGCAGACAAAGTGAAAGTAGGTTAGGAATTAAGAATTAACTAAGTTAAAAAACGGATGCTGGTCCGGAATATAAATTTATATAAATATATATAAATAACTGATCATATTTATAAAACTTATATGAATAGGAAAATAATTGCTTGGCTTTTACCATTTATAAAAATGTTAATGGGATTTTTTTAATTCAAATGGTTTCTGCACAGTTAGATTTATGCTATTAAAGGTTAACTGAGTAACCCCTAATGAGGCCTCCGGCATGAACACTGAATTTTGTTTTAAGTGTTTATTATAAATTACGTTCATTTTGATTAAGATTATTGTTGTTTGTCGAATTTATTATTTTCTGTGAACTATAAGCATCAATTAATAAATAACACGAAATATAAAAAAACAAAGGGTTTATTTATTGAACGTCTCGTTGTAATGCGAGGAAAAACGAGACAGTGCGAGAATAAACAACAAGCATGGCAAACACTACGGCTACTCTCACTGTTGGTGGCGACAGAACTACGGGCCAGTCTGTCCGTTCACAAAATGGTAAGGATATATTGTGCCGATTTCTTTTACATCCAGTTAAGTGATGTACCATACGAGTTACAGTAAAACGTTTTTATCAGCCGACAACTTCTGAAATACCGGTGTCAAAACAGAAGCATGACTCGCACATGGTCTCGAATGTTCGGGCATGTTCCGGTAACCAAAGGGGTTTCGTGTAAATAATTAAAAACTCTTTTTGATTTTATAAGTGTGATTTTGAACATTTGTTTTTTGAAACTGAAATAGAATAAAATATACTTCAGTTAATGTAACATGTAATGTTCGTTTTATTTGAGTTATTCTAGTATATTTGACTTAACGAAATCCCCATATAAGCCCCATACACAGACATGTTCTGTGACCGTTCTGCATGTCTCCGCAAATTTGAGCAGGAGACTTTGATTTTGATTTTCGATCAGTCATAAGCTACGTGACAGATAAAGAGAAAAGGGCAAATGAAAATTATGAATATTGTAGTCGTTGTTCCGGTTTCTTTTAAAGACCGTTGTCTATGCCGAGTGCTGGGAATGTACAAATAGTTTGCAATAAATTTACTAGTTAAACAAGTATCTTATAGTTTTATCAAATAACGTGTGGTGTATTATGAAAGGTCTTCAATGTTAAACCTAAGTTTGGTCAGAAAAGATTTCGGGATAATATAATGACACATACAAATTCATCAAGTTCACTATTGGTAGTTTAAGCCCAAGTAATTTTAGTTTCCTTTGGCCCTGAGTGATCACCAGACTTACAGAACTGTAGTCATTTTGACAGATAGATGTCTGGTGTGGGGGCAGAGGACATTCATATATGACAAAACACATATCTCACATATATCGATAAATGGATTATAATTTATCCAAATCTGCTCTTATTATCACCACCAGAGCGAACAAAAAATTTGGTAAGTCATTATAATTAATTAAAGTCCCTCATAACATTTGTTTAAGTCTTAGAAAATTCAGTAGAAGAAAATGTCATCACAAACTATTCTTTTTAAATGTACAATGTGCTACATTATAAATACCAAACTAGGTTTTTAGGTCACTNTGTAGACTCAGGTGACCGTTTAGGCCCATGGGCCTCTTGTTTCTGAGGACTTTTTGTTCGGATTCACAATTGAAACTATCATGCTTTAATCCCAAAATTCCTAGTATAATAAATTAATCCTGAAAATTTCCCTCCCAATTGATAGTCTTCCTTCCCAAAATGCTTCAAAAAGGCCCAATCCTAACATTAAAAAAATATATACAAATATCGTTGGTCGCTATTGAAATGTAATGAGTTTTTCCTCTAAATCAATTCCAGTGATGGCAGCAAGCTCCATTGCAAATATTGTCAAAAGCAGTCTTGGACCAGTGGGACTGGACAAAATGCTGGTAGATGATATTGGTGTAAGTATGCAGTATCAGAGGTGCGACGCCAATCCTAAGACACCTCCTTGGTTCATATGTACCAGATTCTTAACTTGTAATAGAATCATTGCCTTAAATAGATTTTATTAGTCTTAACCCATTCACCCCTAAATTCACATTTGAATCTTACCAAATCAAAGATTGGCCAATTAAGGCCCGTTTAAATATGTAGGGGTGAATGTGTTCAACAAAGTAATTATTGCACATACATACAGAGTGTCATATTAGGCCATAAAAAAAAAATCAAAATGGCTTCCAGCTCCGTGTTGGCGCTAAATGTCAGCATAAGGGGCACAATTTGCCTCCAAATTTACCTTGTTTATGTAATTCTTTGTTTTACATACAATAGTAGCTAGCGTCATAATCACATGACCACATGGTACACAAAAAACATACAAATTGGTTTGTTTTTTTTTTTTTACCTACCTACCCTTGATTTTGGCCATGCAACCCTAAACAGACAATATTTTTTTGGCCTTACTAGAAACAGTCCGATTTTGTAAGATTTTAATACCTAACGCTGGGGTAAAGCAACATATATTCTCAAAATAGATATGAAATTTTGAAATAGATCACCAGCGCATACAAATTTAAAGAACTTGTGTTAGCAGTCCAAGAAACATCCCCACTCCCAGAATAAGGATAATTTCATCTATGTTCACTGCTTTTGAGATATTTAAGAAACCAAAACTGATCTGTTGTTTAATTTCTACTGCAGCTCTTTCATGTGTCTCCCATCTTTTCCCTAGCTAGCTTAGCTGCAGGTACTATTTGTAGTTGAACAACTGAAAAAATGGTCCAAAGTGCATGGTTTGGACATCCTGTTTTTAATAATATTATTATGAATGTATGTAGATGATCAAACTATAATAAAAGGTGAAGGTCTTAAATGGAATAGTATTCAAATTCACATTAAAAGCTTAAAAACATATAATTAATAGCTTCAGAAATTAATAAATTTCAATGAATCATATTTTATTATAATTCATTATTTGCTTTTTTATAAGTATTCTTTTTTGGGCACCTTTGTAACTGTGATTACGTAAATGTAGGATGTGACCATTACAAATGACGGAGCCACCATTCTGAAGTTACTAGAAGTAGAACATCCAGCTGCTAAAATCTTGGTGGAGCTGGCAGAACTTCAGGACCAGGAAGTCGGAGATGGTACAACATCAGTGGTGAGAATGTCCTTCAAATTCCTATTCTTTAGACCTCTTTACCACTCAAGCACCATCTTATTGGCTTGAGAAATCAGAAAATATTTCACCACCTCCTAATTTCTCTATATTTTATGTATCTTCGCTGTTAAAACAACTTGTCCATATTTTTATAGGGCTTCTTCGATTCAAACTCAGGAGTCTGTAAACGTACTTACCTTCAAGGTCCTTGTAGTGTTTTGCATCATATGTTGTAAAATCATATATTGCAGTGAAGGCTACTGTATTTTAATGCATTTGTTTTGCATATCGTGCAGAATGAAATTGCACATGTGTAGCTATTTTTGATAGAACATCTATTTAAACAGATATCTCCGGGGTTTTGCTAGGTGTTTATAGGGTCCGGTAATTAGGGAACCCATTCTCGATTAAAAAATAACACTATTTTCCCAATTCCAGTCTTTATTTTCCCAAATAAGATATATAAAAAACATGTTTATACAAGTTTCCGGTTGTTATGTGTGCAACGTTCAAAGTATTACTGTCCATGAAAGAGCATTCAAAATACATAAATAACAGAAATTTGTAATTGAATAAACAAAAACCCTGAAAATTGATGTTTATTTATTGCTATACATTCTACAAAAAACAGCTAGAGGAAAACTTTTTGCAAATCACATTGTAGATTATATTTCTCAAAACTTGTATTTTCCTGAACCTGTGCATGTGGGAACACTGATGATATTTCCCAAATTTTGCCAAATGCCGATGATATTTTCCCAAATTCCTGCTCAGGGGCCTTTCCCAAAATAGCTGGCAAAAACCCTGTTGTGTGACTCTTTTCAGACTAAAAAGACAAGCTTATCATTTATTTTCGTTATGACAAAGGATTTTATGGCATGGACAGGTTCATAAACAAATTGTTTAAGTTTATTTTATCAAAAACATAAAAGTCTTTTAAGTCAATAGTGTGCCACTTGTATACAGCGCATTGTCAGGCTTCAAACCGGAATAAATTAATTTATTAAGTTCACCTACTGAACACCAATCAGTTGGTACTTTGGTTTGAAATAGATTATTCAGTTTTTATCAGAGTTTTTTTATGCCAAGATGGGCCGGCCTTAAGGTTTAGATCTACTATGGAGAAAATTGTTAGGATGTCTATTTTACTAATGAAACAAAATTCTTTACAGGTGATAATTGCAGCAGAGCTGTTGAAAAATGCTGACGAGTTGGTTAAATGTAAAATCCACCCCACATCAATCATCAGTGGATACAGATTGGCTTGCAAGTAAGTCATGAAATACCAGTTTATGTGTCTTTTAATCACACAGTTATCAGAGGTAGGAGTTTATTGCAATATCACCATTCAATGTATCTAGAATAAATGAGCATTCACCAAAACTACACGGTAAACTGATAAGCTGAACCACCACATACCGTCCCTCACAGCAAAACTACACAGTAAACTGATAAGCCGAACCACCACTACCGTCCCTCACAGCAAAACTACACAGTAAACTGATCAGTTGAACCACCACACACCGTCCCTCACAGCAAAACTACACAGTAAACTGATAAGCTGAACCACCACATACCGTCCCTCACAGCAAAACTACACGGTAAACTGATAAGCTGAACCACCACACACCGTCCCTCACAGCAAAACTACACGGTATACTGATAAGTTGAACCACCACATACCGTCCCTCACAGCAAAACTACACAGTAAACTGATAAGCTGAACCACCACTACTGTCCCTCACAGCAAAACTACACAGTAAACTGATCAGTTGAACCACCACACACCGTCCCTCACAGCAAAACTAAACGGTATACTGATAAGTTGAACCACCACATACCGTCCCTCACAGCAAAACTACACAGTAAACTGATCAGTTGAACCACCACACACCGTCCCTCACAGTAAAACTACACAGTAAACTGATAAGCTGAACCACCACACACCGCCCCTCACAGCAAAACTACACAGTAAACTGATAAACCGAACCACCACACACCGTCCCTCACAGCAAAACTAAACGGTATACTGATAAGTTGAACCACCACATACCGTCCTCACAGCAAAACTACACAGTAAACTGATAAGCTGAACGACCACTACCGTCCCTCCCAGCAAAACTACACAGTAAACTGATCAGTTGAACCACCACACACCGTCCCTCACAGTAAAACTACACAGTAAACTGATAAGCTGAACCACCACTACCGTCCCTCCTGTTTCTACACTAAATTATAAACAGGGACACGCTTTTCAACTTTTCTTAATTTTCTACACAATAAGCGTTCAAGTTTCCCTCTTGTTGCTACATGATAAAACTAACAATGAACTCCCATTCAACTTCCCTCCAGTTTGTATTCCATAAACTGAAGGTATATACAGTGGGAGATAGAAAACCTTACATAGTAAATTGGATCTTTTTATTTCTGAAATTATCCATGTACCAAGTAGGAACAAGAACAATATGTTTGCTTTTCGTCATCAACTTCTAGATCGAGTTGTTCAAAATATCGTTAATTGAATCGAGTTGTTCAAAATATCATTAATTGAATGGGATATTGACTGAAATTTCAATTTCAAATGATAGAAAACTGCATGTTTCAGAATTTTAATATGCATCTTAAGAATTTCGTAAAAAGTATAACACCTTTTGAAAGATTTTAGTTACTAGTAAATGGGACCCGGAAGTGAAATGCTAATTTCTGATTAAATGAAATTAAAAAAACTTTCAAATTCATCATATTTCAAAATGTATTAAACTTCAATAATGATTTTTTTATGTAAAAACAGTCGCTTTTTAAAATTTCACAATTATTTGATCACTGGTTCTTGAAAAGGATGTTCTGTAGTTGATTGCCAGAATGTTTATCTTTTGAAATTTTAAATTTGATTGATCACTGGCATGGTTCTTGATGTGAATGTTTTGATATTGAATGCTGAAGTGTTTTATCTTTTGGAGTTTTAAATTTAGTTGATCACTGGTTATTGAGATGAATGTATTATAGTACTGTAATTGAATGCTGAAGGATTTTATTATCTTTTATGATTTGAAATTTAGTTGAAGTGAAGTGTTTTGTTTCTGTGATTTTAGATTTAATTGATCACTGGTTACTGTAGATGAATGCTTAGTGTTTTGTTTCTGTGATTTTGTAGAGAAGCCTGTAAGTACATACAAGAACACCTCACCATCAACACCGAAGAGCTCGGACGTGAATGTATCATCAACGCTGCTAAAACTAGCATGTCCAGCAAAATCATTGGGTCGTATCCTTTCGTTCATGATCACAAGATTTAAAAGAGTTTATTTTGAAGAAAAAAAACATTTTCTTTCAAGTTACCATGCAGGATTCTTGCCTCAAACATTTTCAAAACTGTTTTCAAGAGAATCGGGACATTTTCTTATCAGTTTTAAGAAAACTCCAAATTTGAAAAAGAAAAATTGAAGAAAAATAATTCTTTGTAGCATAACACACAGTTATGTTTTCTAATGTTATAGGTGTTTTAGAACAAGACAAACTTCAGTCTTTTGAAAAATATCAAGATGAAAATGGAGAAACATCAATCCAGATTCAATCCAGATACATCAGTGTGTCTTAACCCTTTTACCCCTATGTAACTTTAATAAACTCTACCATAAATTGATCAAGATGAGTCCATTATGGTGTACAGTGATGAAAGTGTTAAGAAATTGAATCTCAAATACTCTGGAAATACCCTGCAGTAGTGAAGTCTGAAATAGTTTTTGACTTTATCCCATACAACTTCCTTTCAGCTTCTATGTAAGTTGAAAGTATATACAATGGGGCACAGTATGACTTGTTTCATGAATTTTGATCTTTTCTTAAAGGAAAGATCATTTACTGAATCAATGACAGAAATTTACATCTAAGGTATTAATTGTACATAGGATTACGATTAACTTAAGCTTCTAGCTTCGCGCTAGAGGGAATTTCTCTTTAGCTCAGTGGTAGAGCGTCTGACTGGGAAGTCTGGGTTCGTGGGTGAATTCCCCAGTGGAAGCTCATTACTTCTGTTGCACATGATTTTGTACATATTTGTAGCCAGTTGACCATGAAATCAATATTTTGTCATGTTTTCATATTCACCTAGTTCGTTATCAACCTATAATTAATAACAGTTATGCTGCCAAAACACAAATTTAATCAACCAATCAAAAATCTTGATGAATACTTATCTACCTTGACAACCTGATCAGCCAGTCAGATTTCTTCTCCAACATGGTGTTAGATGCTGCTAATGCTATCAAGACATCTGATGGAAAGGGAGGGTTCAAATATCCAATTAAGGCTGTTAACGTTCTGAAAGCCCACGGACGTAGTTCAATTGAAAGTACTCTGATCCAGGGCTACGCTCTTAACTGTACAGTCGCATCACAAGGTAAGACTTGCAAATAATTAAATTATTTTTGGTGAAAGTTCAATTATATATTTTTTTCTATTCTTTTTGGACATAATAAAGAATACCATCCTCATAATTATTTGCTCAATTTTTTTAGAAAGTTGTAAAAGTGGGGTAAAAAATCAAACTTATTCTGTAATCCATGATAAGTAGGCCAATTATACCGGTGAAAGTTATGAAAATGAAGTAAAAGTGGGGTAAAAAATCAAACTTATTCTGTAATCCATGATAAGTAGGCCAATTATACCGGTGAAAGTTATGAAAATGAAATGTATTCTTTAAATTTTAGAAATTCTTTGTTTAATACTGCTATCTCAAGATTTTATGACGGTAATAAACGTATGTTCACATTGTGTTTTTTATCACCAGCCATGCCGAAAAAGATCACCAATGCAAAGATAGCCTGTTTAGATTTCGGTTTGATGAAAGCAAAGATGAAGATGGGTGTTCAGATCCTAATTGAAAACCCAGAAGACCTTGATGGAGTCCGACAGAAGTAAGTATTGATCATTGGGTAGACTTCACTTTAATTCACAAGAATGTGATAGATTGCATTTGGGGTACTAGTTCACAGTCAAGAGCAATCTTACTTGAAACAGATCTTCAGTTCTGACCATACTGAATCTGATACATAAGATTTAAGGGGACGGTAGAAAATGTTAACAATGTCGCGCTAGAAAATCTCACTATATTTCCTTTTTTAAGGGCCCTGCATCAGAGGTATTGGTGCATTTGTCAATCTCCCTGCTCATCCAAATTTTGATTTAAGCAGATATTTTAAGAATCCAAAAGTCTTTAAGATTTCAGAAGTTTCACACAATATATATATGCTTTTATATGTAGATATGCAATAGGAGTTAAACAAGTTCAGAAGGTCAATGTCACTTAAAAAAGTGGGGTATACTGGGGTATACTATCAAAAATACATTGTATTACATTTTTAGACTGCAAGTGTTACTTTTAGTGGTAACATAAATGGCCAAGTATTTGATGGATATGCCAGGATCATAAAATTAAAGATGTCTTTTGACCATAGTCAGTGTCACTGTCCGACACTTTTTTGGGCCGCAGTGGTTAAGGCGTCTTACATAGCTTTTCACCACTGGGTCGCAGGTTGGAGACTTGACTTATAAGGCCAAATAAAATTAATTGCTTGGTTCTCAGGCCAATTTCTTTCAAAATAGGTGCGGCAGGGCGGTATTATTTTTTTCATTTTACATGGCAAAAACGAGACGAGGGCGATTTTTTTTTATTGTGAAGTTTGGAAAATGTTCATTGTGGGCATTACCTTGTCTTTTTTAACCCATATTTCTAAATCCAAGTTGATTGATGTGGCTTCTGCTAAATGTAATTATAGGGGATTCATATAGTGTTAAGTTCAATACTGGGCCTTTACTGACCTGTCGTGTTCTAGTTTAACTAGATTTGTGTAATTGATGTTTCACTTGAAATGTAAATCAGGAAAAAGATCAATAAATAGAAATTGTAACCATTTCAGGCCATCAAGTAAAATTTCTTTCCTGTTCCTTTCAAAATTCTGCGTGAAATTGGTTTAATAATAAATTCTTTGTATGATAATATCTGACCATTTTCGCTGTATACTTAAGTGTACAGTTTTTAAACTTTTACTGTTCAGTTTCTTTTTGGTGTATTTAGTTTTGTAATATGTCTTCACCGTAGCTGGCCGGTAATATAAGCAACAAACTAATAACTATCTTCCTGTTCCAGAGAAACCGATATTACCAAGGAAAGGATAGAGAAAATCATTGCAACAGGGGCCAATGTTATCTTAACTACTGGAGGTATTGATGACCTCTGCCTCAAGTACTTTGTTGAGGCCGGTGCCATGGCTGTACGCAGATGTAAGAAGGTGGATCTGAGGAGGATCGCTAAGGCAACGGGCGGTAAGAGGCTTCCGAGACTTACATTAACGCCAAAGATAGTTTTAAATTGGAAAATTATGACTTTTAGTTGACAAGTGTTGTAAATCATTAAAAAAAATGAACAACAGTCTGATCTAATGCATCCTACCCTGGCAATACAGTATCACCATGGATTGACAAGATGAATTATTGCATCAAAATACAAGACAAAAAGATGGTTTCAAATTGTGAATTTTAGTTGACTATGGAGTGTTATAAGTTTTAAATACACTATTTTACCAGTCTAATCTGATGCATCATAGACTAGCAACACAGGGTCAACATAGATTGACTGACAACATAAACCACAGCATCAAAATACAATGACAAAAATTGTAGTTCAGAAGTGAAAAAAGGCAACAAAAGTGAAATATATATTTTAACCAAGGCAAATACCCTCAAATTTCCTGATCATCGGTATAAGAATTCATGATGTTAGGGAAAATCAACTGTAAATATATGAAATAACATATTTGAAAAGTGATGATTGTATTTCAACGCCATTGTTGTATTGTACTTTTAGGGCAACTGGTTTTGACTCTGGCCAATTTAGAAGGTGAGGAATCTTTTGACGCGAGCATGCTTGGACAGGCAGAGGAGGTTATACAGGAACGTATCTCGGACGATGAACTCATCCTCATTAAAGGGTCAGTGGTGTACACATGTAATCAAGACAATTGTATTGGTTTCCTGATCAATTCCACACAAAAAAATCCCCAAAAAATCCCACATAACTTATTCACCCCTAAAAACACATTTGAACTTTTCCCATTCAAAGGTTGGAATAGTTCATTATGAAATTTCAGGGGTAAATGAGTTAATAGGCCTATAGATCTCATACCAGTGTTAAAACTAACGATGAATTGGAAACAGCCACCAGCATGACAAAGTTTTAATATGTCACTAAAGAAACCAATATCTCTCGGCACTCTAATGAAGAAAGATAATAAAGATGACATTTAAAATAAAGAAATCAATGACAGTGTTCTGACAATAATGAATTAAAGCAACAGACGAACGGGATTTAAACTTAGTACCACAGATCACAGTCTGTCACTCTGACCAACTGAGCTTAATGTTCAGTGATAGCTTCCTGGCAAGTCCTACTATAATTATATGTAAAATGAAACTAATGTAGAGGTTATTGTATGTATGAAAAACTACAGTGGAATTCTGTAGTGTTTTACCGGCAGTGGGACAGAGGTACTTTATTGCAGAAGTGAGATTCTGAATCTATCCTGTGATCTTGCCCTAAGGATGGATATTGTTTTTGTCTCATCCCAAATTTCCAGCCCAAAATAAGGAATATTGTGTCTGTGAAATCAAATCTTGGTGTGCCAACTAGGGACAATTGCACTACACAGCTGGAAAGAGAGTTAAGATACTATACATAATATTTGATAGCCCATATCATAATTATATAACTATTATATTCCTCTTTGTATAAACCTACGTCATCAGGGAATAACTGCATTTAAAACAACATAAATAAATTCAAATAATTATATTATGAATGAATGCCTATGTTCTCTGCCTGAAACATCAAGAAAGGAACTGATGCCCAGGCGGTGTAGTGCCACTTGGTGTATTCCGTCTTTGCGTATTGCAGAGTTATCTTCTCTTGTGAGCAGGTATTGATTGTTACGTCATTGGTTTGTGCGAGAAAATTACGTCTTTTTCTCATAAATTGATGACGTTACTCTCACAAACAAGTGACGTAACAATCAATACCTGCTCCCAAGAGAAGATAACTCTGCAATATGCAAAGACAGAATACATAGTAAGTCGTAGTTATTGCCCCTTACTACGCTTTTTCATCCTAAAGTAAGAAGTATTACGTCTGTGAAACCAAATCTTGTTATTCTGACTGGGGACGGCTACATTACACAGCCAGGATAGAGTTAAGATGCTCTACCTAATGTTTGTCAACCCATATCATAATTATTATACTCTTGTTTTTCATTAGCACCAAGGCAAGATCTGCAGCTTCCATCCTCCTACGTGGAGCCAACGACTTCATGTGCGATGAGATGGAACGGTCTGTCCATGATGCCCTTTGTGTGGTGAAGCGTGTCTTGGAGTCCAAGTCAGTCGTTCCTGGGGGCGGGGCTGTAGAGGCTGCCCTGTCTATCTACTTGGAGAATTTTGCTACATCACTGGTAAGTAAGATTGTGTATTTCGACTTAAAATATAATAAGAAAGGCAGTAGGGTTAATATCACAATGTGTTATAAGCAGGAATACATCATTTTATGTTTGGGAAAATAGCAAGCAAAAGAAATCCTATTTTCATTATATGACAGTATAAACCATATGCATGTATGTATGTTAATTAATGACAGGAAAAAGCAGGTCATTTAACCCTTAGGCTGCTACGCACGACAATAGTCGTTTTGAAAAGTCGGGCCCTCACTGCTACGCACGACAATAGTCGTTTTGAAAAGTCGGGCCCTCACTGCTACGCACGACAATAGTCGTTTTTCGGTCTGTAGGTTTTGATCGGTAGCCAGGAAGTGTGAAGTCGGGTTGTTGCTATACCAAACCCGAACGCGTATAGTAGAAGGCTTCTGATTGGTTGTTTTGTCATTACTTTCGATATTCACGGCAGTGTACCCTAGTAATTAATAACCAAAGGTGTGCGAGAGAATTTCAAATCGGAAAAAAAAGTCATAAAAATGGCGGACGTGTAGATTGAAGCGATGCATATGATGGTAAACATTTATTCTCCATCGTCACCTACGATGATAATAAAGGTTTTGAAGGGTTTGGCATGGTTGATGTGGAAATACTTGGGTGTTACATAATATGTAACTTTCCAGTAAACGGCTTTGTGCTCTACGCAAACAGGAAAATAT